AATTCTCACTTAATAATAATGATATATATTTCACACAACAAAGGTTACATGAATGCAAACCAGTCTAAGGGTTTGATCATTTTGGTAGTGAGAAATGACTGTTATGTACAGTATGAAGCTATACATTAAATACCGTTATTCATGGCATATAAGAGGTGTGTTGAAGCAGGCTCAGTTCGAATTTGAAGATTATTCGGTTATCGTTTGAATCACCCAATATTCTTGAAGAAAAGGCCGCATCACAGTCATGACCTCGGGATGTGCGCGTTCGTCATAACGTTTTGATGGCGGGGTGCGTGCTGACAAATGCGATTTGTAGGATTCCATTTAAATGCAGGATTGGTTACGTAAACCTGAAAAGTGAATAACAAAAGCGGGCAGCAGGCGAAATTCGAAACAGAAGCACAAAAATACGCAGGAGTAGATCAACCATGATACATCTGGTTGAGTTCTTTGTACTGACTGTAAGACTTTTTTCAAGGAGTATCCAGATCCAACTGTTGAGTTTTAAGCCTTGCGGAAGAAGATGTAGGTTGAAGTCGCCGCGTATGATGTGGTGATCATATGGGGGAATGTTTGTTTATTCCATCGCTGTGGAATCTGTGCTATCTCGTTACTTTCGAAGGTTGCATTTACTCTGTAAACACACCTAACCAATGCTGCTGCATTCCTTTAGTGTAATCTGACACATAGAGAGTCACTTACCTTATCAAGAACCATATTTTCCAACCTGAATGCAGTGAGAGTTCTCAGGAAGTATATGGGGCAACCTCCCCTTTTCTTGTTACTCCGGTCACTTTGAATTATGTGTACAAATCAATACTTAAATCTCCATCTGGAGTATTTGCGTGACACCAAGACTCAGTGATAATTATCATAAGCAGTTTAAATATGATCGCAATTCCTCTTAGTGAAGATAGTTTGCTAAGGACAGATCCTGCTTTTATAAGAACTGTGTACAAGTGACAGCAGCAATGATGTGTAAGGCTTCCTAATTGACTAAACCGGCAAAAAGGTATCTCATTGTTGCTCGGTTGAGAATGTTCTGATGTGGCTGCGTTAAAAAACGTCTCCACACCATGCTCGTCTATCTATTAACTGAAGTTCAAGAAAGCAGGTGGATAAAATACCAATATTTAGGTCATGCACCACAAGTGAATCACCCGAAATAATAACTTTCTGTTCGCGCCACGTCTCAGGATTCTCCTTTAGGTTTCTTCATTTACATCCTGCTTACCAAACCTCGCCATCTTGCAGATGTGACCGCAAAATGATATTTCTTTAGGATTTGTCCTGTTGCGAACTTGACAGACGCAAAGACCAATCACTAATTATTCGAACTTGTTATATACCCACGAATACGAGACCAAGGAAGAACACGATGGCGTAGTCGGATGGAATAGTATATTTGGATGGTTGTGTCAAAATACAGATGCGTTCCAACTAACTGGCTAGAGAGTCGAATACGAGCAGTGCAACGTAACACGACAGCGTGCCAAATGGCGAGGATGCTTGACCGGGTGCCTTCAGCTTAGCGAGTCCAGTTAAACTATCAAGGTCAGCATCAATGTCGAAAGTCGTCAAACCCTAGGCCATTGATTTTGGGGAAGTGTATGACGCTACAGATCACTCCCCCCTAGTGGGTTCGTGAGGACCCTAAGACGATACCAGCCGGAAGTAAAAACCCAGTGGTTTCTCCACTGGTAAAACTCCTCCGATTGGCACACTGCGTGAAGTGGCCCGCGGTTGTCTGAACTTATTCTAGGGTGTCGTGGCGATTAAATAATAAAATACAATAAATGACATTGTACGTCGGTCGCGGTCCTCAGTTCCTTTTGACGTTCCGTCCAGTGCTCGTTGCACCTGGAATATAAATAAAAGTCTTTAATACCACGAAAACGTTGCGTAAAAATGGGAATTATTTATATATAAACATATCGAAAAATAAAAATTTACGCTTATCTTCACCGTTTTTTTTAAAATTTCATTACATGGTAAAAAAAATTGATATAAAAAAAGGCAAAGTGTACGAGGGTTTGTATTGAGGTATCGGGTAGCAGTCCGGAGTTGTTTTGGCGTTAAGCCTTCGGTAATCACCGGTCGGACGCCAGTCGTTGCCATGCTTTTCGGGAACCATGTGCAATGGCGATGCCCAAGGACCGTTTGACGGTCTGATAATGCGCAGTTCGAGCATGTGGTCGAATTCGTTTTTCGCCGTTTTGAGCTTATCGGGGGCTAAACGGCGAGCTTTGGATGCCACAGGTGGACCTGTGGTTGTGACGTGATGCATAACATTGCTGGTTATGCACGGAAGAGTGTGCTTCGGTTGCTGTAACTCTGGATATTTCTCCAGAACTGCCTGGTAGGACGCGTCGCCTGATTGTTTAGTCCTAACGATGGCTAAACTCGGACCTACATAGGTGGTGCCGCCAATAGATAACTTTGTGTTGTTATCTATCAGTCGTCGACGGCGAGCATCTACGAGTAGATCGTAATGGTTTAGCAAATCTATGCCAATGATGGGCATAGAGACGCCAGCAAGGAGGAAGATCCAGTGGATAGGTTTGCGTAAAAGTTGAGGTAGGCATACCGTCTCCCGAATGTCGCGATTGCCTTGCCGTTGGCTGCTTGAAGATTGAAGGATGGGTCATGATGACGCTCCTTTGTCGTTGCTGGAAGAACGCTAACTTCTGCGCCGGTGTCGACGAGGTAGCGGACTTTCGTTTTAACGTCGGTGACGTAGAGCAAACGGCTTTTTCCGCCGGCTACGGTTGCCGTGAACACGTGCCGGCGTGACCGTTTCCCGAGTTTGCGTCCTTCTTAAAACGGCATGGTTTACGACATTTTCTGGCTTCATCTCCGTAAGTGTTATGAAACCAGCACCATTCAGGGTTTTCCACCCTGTTGGGTTTCGTTTTAGGGCTAACACGCGACTTGCTGCGATGCGCCAAGGTGCGTTTGTGCGGAGTGCTACGTGATCTAGGACTTCGAGATCGTAGCAACCGTTTCACAGAGTTGCACAACTTGGTCACCTCTGAATCCTGGCGCTCTGGTTTGTCGCAGATAGAATATACGTTGGAGACGGGTCTGCTGGAAATCTCCAGTATTTTATCTGCTGAGGCTGCCAGGTCATCGAGTGGGACTGACTGCAGTGTCACCAACACGGTTTGCACCGGTTGTGGTAGTTTCGAGAGAAATAGTTCTCGGAAGAAACCATCGTCGAATATTCGTGCATCGATTGCCTCTTGCATGCGTGCGAGGACTTCAGTAGCTGAGTGGCTGCCTAGCTCGATGTTACGAAGCAATTCGTTTAGACGTTGGCGATCTGTGAGATCACTTTTCTTCAAGAGTGCGGCCTTAAGAAGTGCATAAGGGTCACTTACTTCAGGATTAAACACGTGTGCTATAGCATACCTGTTTAGTTCTGGCGGTAGTGGCCGGATGACAGCAAGAAATCGAGATTGAGGATCTGAGATGCCCTGTTCTCGAAAGTCTGCCTCTGCATACAGAAACCATGTTTCTGCATTGTCTGGCCAATATGTCACGAGTTGGATCGTGTTCGCAGTCGGCTTAATACGAATAAGCTTGGGAGTGTGGTCGGACATGAGAAAGTGCAGTAAATGGGTATATAAATGTTATCGAAATGAAAACAATAAACAAATATAAAATGGAACAGGCTCACCAATTCAATACTTGTTATTGGTCGGGATATGTGATCACGTCGGGCTCACTAATTTGGGATTTGTCCTGTTGCGAACTTGACAGACGCAAAGACCAATCACTAATTATTCGAACTTGTTATATACCCACGAATACGAGACCAAGGAAGAACACGATGGCGTAGTCGGATGGAATAGTATATTTGGATGGTTGTGTCAAAATACAGATGCGTTCCAACTAACTGGTTAGAGAGTCGAATACGAGCAGTGCAACGTAACACGACAGCGTGCCAAATGGCGAGGATGCTTGACCGGTTGCCTTCAGCTTAGCGAGTCCAGTTAAACCATCAAGGTCAACATCAATGTCGAAAGTCGTCAAACCCTAGGCCATTGGTATTGGGGAAGTGTGTGATGCTACATTTCAAACAGGCTGCAAGCGATAGCGTCTCCGACTAAATTCAGTTGAAGACGGCAGCGAGAAGACTACACGCATTCGGTTATCTGAATTTATAGATTTCGTGGGTGATCCCGTAACCTCACATTCACGGAAACCGACACCTACACAAGTGGCTTCCATACTCCAACACTTGAACAAGGGTCACTTGAAAGTTTCCGTGGATCTTTCTTTGGTAGCACCCATTTGAGTGAAGATGGATGTTCGCTGACAAATGCTAAACTAAGTAAAACATTACAGAGATAAACGACTGTCACTGGGGTAACTATGCGGAAAAACTCTTGCTGACACAAAACGGTTTACACAGAGAAAAGTGAAAGAAAACATCAGGAGATGATAAAAGTATGGGCTTTAATTTCGAGTGATAACGCTCACTTTGTACTGCAAAGCTCAAGGTGAGATATGCACCTCAAAAACACAAGTTTATAAAAGTAAGGAGAAATTTACACTCCTATGCAAACCTCGCGAAATCAGTTAGTGCAACACTATTATCGATATTCTGATAGGCAACTTTGTAAGATTCGACCAAAGTTAGCATTCAGGCGATATTTTGAAAGTCTGAAAATGCATATGAAAGTTTTGCATTTTGATGTGATATTCCTTTGTTTAAGCTGACTGAAGACAAAAGAAACCCTAGATTCATATCAGCGCTAATTTAAAACCGCTATTTTCTGGTTCTCGTGATTCTCTTTGGACGATATGCATTAAAGGACTTTTTTTCATTCGAATCCACTCTGATTTTGATTTATATGCGCAAATTATTGATAAAAACACTGCTGGGATACATATAAGTCAGTCACTTGGCTAAAAACCGCTTTCTTTCCGTAAGATTTATTGGTATACTAAAATCTCGTTAGTAAATATAGCTTTTTCTTATTTGAAGAAGTATGGATTTCGAAACAATTGCAAGTCAGATAATTCATCGAAGAAAGTCCTCAAAATTGAGGCCATGGCAGAAATTGAAGTCGAAGGTGATAATTAGTGGATTTGAGAAAGTTAGATCTAAATACGACTCAGTTATGTCAGGAAAATTTTCCGATTTACCCCGAATGAACAGCAAATCTATTCGTGTTTTCATAAGCTCAACGTTTTCCGGTAAGTTTTATTATCTTATAAGAAACTTTCTCTTTCAATCTGCAAAAGATCTGAACTTGGAACGAAATGTGTTAATGAAGCACGTCTATCCGAAGCTAAAGGCTTACTGCCGTGAAAAGTATGGTTTTGACTTCTATGTGAGTTTGAATTCAGGATGACTTTTTTGTTTAGTAAGAAGAGATTTTGCCGATATTTTTTTCAACAATAGTCCATGCAATTTACTTAGCGCATGTAAATGTAGTAATTGACACAAAAAAGCATGATTTATGGCTCTCACACCAGAATTTTTACATACTGAAGGATAAGACAGTAATCAGTTAGAAGCTCACGGAAAACGTCTCATGGGATAAATGCTGCTCAAATATCGAGGCTTTCATGCTTTAATTTAGAGCCTGAAGGGCCATGCCAACTAAATGAAAAGCACTTGAATGAAATTGGTAGTATCCACAGTAAACTTAAATATTTTTCAGTCTGATTAGATATGGAACAGACACTAAGTAGTTCGAAATCATGAATAGGCCGTTATAAGGCACGATATTACAAACTGAATAGAATGCACGTATCACCACTTTTCTTCAGTTTAACCTATTGACCAGAACTGAAAAAGTACGCAATGTTTATTCATTGATCCCTTGTTTGGTCAGTATTTACCTCTGCATATCGGATATATGTAATATACAGCAAATCTACATTTCTTCATGCTAGTTTGATACGATTATCCCGATAACATAAAAGGAATCAATTTCTTGCTTTAACTACCTACAGTGATATCGTGGACAGCTGATTTTGAAAAGTATCATAAGTTTGATTTTATTAAAGGACCAGTTTGAAACCTAAAGTTCAGTACTAATTAGGAATAAGTAATTCTCTGAGAATGCACCAAAACGGAAAACTCAGTACTCGAGCTTGAAATCACTGGTTGTTTGTAGTTTTTGACTACCTTTTTTCATTCATGAGTTGGTAAGACGTAGTAGTTGGAAATGCTGAAAAATGTCTCAAAATCAGTTAAAACAGTTCACATGTAGTGTCTGACAGTTACTTTTGAAACCAAACAGTTTCTTTGCTTTTACTTGCACATTCTTTACCGCCTGATACTGATTAGAAATAAAGTTTTAGGGAGTGTTTTGGTAATATTTCGAGCAAAACTACTGCCCGTGGTCACACCACTTGTTGATGTGTAACAATCACTAAAATTGATTCCCTTTACAATGCACAAATTTTCCATGGATATAATACTTAGTACTTCTTCACTAAAATATCTTTCAACTTTTGTTATGTACCTTCAGCTTCTCAGGGACTGAATTGCTTCCTGAAGAGCAAATGTTTTACCTGAAGTACTCAAACGAAGTAGTACTATTAGATAACGACATTAACAAGATGAAGTCTGTTGAATATTTGAAGCTTAAAGCCAACTATGTTCGGGATGGCTTTAGCATCTACCAGAGTAAAGATGATTCTGAAAACTGGTCTTCACCGATTTCTAGTTTAGGAATAAGGAGTTAAGTGGTTGAGTAGACCATCTCAATTACTTTGAAAGTTGTTTCAGCTCAAATGAGCTGTAAATGAAACCTCACCTTGGATAAAAAAGAGCCATTTGACAGCTGATAACTTACAGCACTTACCAGTCACTATTATATTGGTTTTCATGTCACAGGATGAGTATACCACTCAGCAGTTTGCTTTAACCTTTGGTAAAGTTATGAGCAATGGCTGTCAAAAGTTAAAGATTTAAAGAGGCTATGAAATTTTGGCCACCGATGTCTTCGTAGGGTTACTAATTGGTGGTGGAATCATCATATGAGTGGTTTTCAGGTTAAGTGAGGTACTAGAAAAGGAAGGCAAGTCAGTTGATGAAGTTTTGAAGCTTCATCAACTAAGGTGGCTTGCGTAGGTGACACACGAATAGCAACCATTTATCTAGACACGTAATGCTAGCTAAATTTAAACGAGGTTGAACGAAGGCTAAGGGTGGCTAGATGAACTTGCTATGGTCTGTCAGTCAATATCGCTTTGGAACCTGACATTACTGTGTAATGACTCACATGAGCACATTATGGTAGAAGATACCAAGGTGAAATGTGAAGAAATTACAAAATTAATCAAATCCCTACGAAAGCCGAAAATGACTAGAAGAGAGGATCAAAGAACGACGACATTGAATTTGAAAACTAAGATGAAGATAGTATGAGGATACGCATGTGCCACTGAATCATTTGTCACAGCCATATTACCTGGAGTTTCTCAAAGACGATTTCAGTTTTTATGGAGAATAACTAAGGAGTTTCACTTTTCTACAGGAGTGAAACCAACAGTTAAAGGCTTCACACACTGACATCACGTTTTAGCTTAGCTACGTCTAACCTTTATCTAGCCTAAACCTAATTGAACTAAAATTAAACGATGGAGAAGACAAAAACTAGCCATGCGTAACAGTTATTTTAGTTATTGATGAGGGTTCACAATTTCATCAACTGACTTTTCTCTTCTACTTGGAGCTTTACACCTAACTTCTACATTGTTTATGCGGTGACATCAAGACAGCCTATTCTGCGAAGATAACAACGACAGAGTACCTGAGACATTCTCTTCCCCTTCTTCACTTTTCATGTCAGATTTCTAACCTCGGACGAATTCTGGAACACAAGCATCCCTGCCGGCTGCTGATACTTGCCACATTTTTTGACCTGAAGGCGACATTCACCTCTCTTGACTGTGAGATGTTGTGGCAGTGTCTTACTATGAAGGTAGTACTGAGCAAGTGTATAATGCTTATCAAAACTCTCTACTCAAACTCTTATAGCCGTGTAAGAGTTTGTGGAAAGTTATCATCAGAACTGAAGACAATCAATCGTGTCCACCAGAGATGCCCACTGTCATCGTTCCTGTCCAACTTTAATACAGACACAATAATAGATATAACCTTAGATATGTCTGACTTCACAGGGATTAATCTACTCCATAAGGGTCATCTGGTTAGTTTGCATTACGCAGACGATATTGTGCTGCTATGTGAAAAGCTGACAAGACGTTGGGTATTCTGAATGTTTTCAGTGGAAATTTGAGTATGTTTGGCATGCGATTAACACCTCTTAAATGTAAGATGATGCTACAGGACTGATCCACTGCAAGTGCTTTCAGTTGAATGATGGGGAGTGAAGTGGTGAAATGTATCGACCAGTTTACCTACTTGAATAGTTGCATTAGTTTGAATGGGCTGGTTGCTGATGAAATCCTAGCTCAGATACAGAAGGTCCGTTTGGAATTGACCAATTTCAGTCATCTGTGAAATCGACTAGCGAGATATCCGACTATTGACCAAATAGCCAGTATACTGCGCTACTGCATTCCGTTATGTCCTGTTGTACGGCTATGAGATATGGCCGTTAAAAGTGGACGTGAGAGTGTGACGGAGTTCTGATCATAGATATTTTCGTAGTATTGCTCGCGTTTAGTGGGATCACCGTGTGAGCAACACTGCGGCCAGGCGAAGGATGGTTGGCAAAAAAGAAAATACAGTCTATAAGGCTGTTAACCTTCATTTACTGATCTGGCTTGGATATGTACTACTCATGTCGAGCCACAGCCTATATCGATGTGCCATGCTAAAGGAAGTTGGAATCAGCTAGAAAATAGTTCAGGGTAGCCAGTCCAAGACCTGTCACCAGTCTATCAAATATCTGACTGCTGATCTGAGCAGTGTGTGAGGTGTGGTCTACCTGGTTGAGGTCTCCAAAACCATAGGAATTAATGGTTGATGACTCTTAGTGAAATGACTGAAAATTGGTCACAATGGGGCATATGTATTTGCTCTTTGACATCTTGTGAAGTTTGAATATCTTTTCTCTAACCCTTATCATCAAGTTGTTTCTGCTCTCATACATCTTTGGCTTCTTTGATAATAGTCTTTTTCTATCCTCTTGTTCTTTGCACACTGCTGTGGAGTGTGTAAACGTGAACCGATGGAATTGTGTGCGAAGTTCTACGTTGATTTTATCTTTTTTAATATCCAGACTTCACAACCATATAGTAGAACTAGATGGAGTGCTGTGCAGTAAACTCAACTCCTAAGAAGCAACTGGATACCATATCAGCACCATAAAGTGTGGCATGATCTTATGAAGTCTTTGACTTCTGTATTGGTTCATGTAGAGGGATGTAGATTTTCTATCTCCAGTCTTTAAGACAACAAGAATCGATGGTTGAAAGCTGCTGTGGATGTAGCTGAAATTAAAACAGTGCCAATATATGAACCCCCCCCATTTTGAAGTCTGGGATATTTTTATGAACCTTTGTCCCCTAACTCTCACTTCCCTCACACACTTTTAAATGTCTTAATATCTTTTTTTTTCATTTCGCACTTTTGTGTGCTGCTACAATGTATGGCAACTTAAATATACTTTTGTGCCAGGTTTATTAGTGATTTGTATGTTTATCTCTCTATCACGCTTTTGTCTATGAGGCCTATGGCCATCGAGTCCACTAATTGAGTTGTGTGAGTTAATTCACTGATGTGGAAGAGCACCAATACTTCCATAAATCAGCATCCCATTTACAAAAAATACTTTTAAGGACGAAGTAGAAATGCACAGGATTTGTTGAGAAAAGTGGCATCTTACTACATTCCCTGATTATCCAATGGACCTTTTAGTGTATACACCGGAGCAAGAGGATGACTGATACCAACTATTTTAGTAGCCATACTTTTATTTCATTCAGTTTCAATGATGACTCACTGATGTATGATCTAGTGTTTGCGACCAGTAACTGAGACTAGCATATAATACCAATAAATGCTAATTGCTAACAGGTCAGAGAACCCTTATTAATAGTTGAATGCTTCTGAAACGTTTGAGAAGACTATCTGATGTGAACTGAACCTTAACCTGTTGCTAGCAGCAAGAGATGTTTTTCATCATCCAGCAAATAAACTTAATATTTGTTTCCCTATAGTTTGGATAGAAGAATACTAATTTGTAACACTATTAAGTAGCTGACAAATTATCTCTTATAACCTTTGTTTTTTGGACGCAGGTAGATTTGACCTACCTATAATTGCATCATTTTCTGATTGAGGGAAACTAATAATCAGATAACTTTTTGTCGTATAAAAGAAGGCTTAATTGTAACTGGTATGCAAGTTAACTAAGGTGGGCAAAACTAATTATGGCTGAATAAACACTTACTAGCTTGAATAGCAAGTGCAAAAGTGTTATGCGACAATATGATTTACATGTAACTGTAGAAGCTTTCATTCGAACTGACACTTCCTGTTGTAAATATTCTTTACGAAAACTAAACTGAGAAATCATTCTTGCTCAAATCAAGACACTTAAAACAACGTTCTTGCAGATTACTAACAACAATGTAGTCATGAAAATCATTTAAACCTTCAATATAAGTGTGATATTTAGTTAAGAATGATGATATTTTGAACTCTATTTGAGAACAACATACATCGAAACAAAGATTATATCAGGAGGCATGTTTACGTGTTTTCATTTTCTGTAGTATATATATTGACTGAAGCAGCTACACCAAATGTCCCAGCCATATTTTAATCCTTTATTTTTCCTCACATAGATATGAGTACTGGTGCTATCCTTAAGAACAATGAATGTAGTTGTTTAAATTTTTGTAATCACATTCTCACTACTATTGAGGACTCATGTTATACTTCATACTTAAATCATATGATAAAAGTCCACTCCTAATAAAAGTATTCAAATCCTAGGAGAAATAAATGAGACTTATCGAATTCGCTTTTGTGTTTAAAAACTGATGGGGATAGAACGAAGAAGTCAGCAAAATTCACTAAACCTGTTATAGTTAAGGCTGTCAAAAATTATAAGACAGAGTAAATGCTGACTTAGATGCATTCCATTAGAGTATGGATATAAAATGAATTCAGTGTAGCATGAATGCTTCCAGTTTTACACTTACTTTTATTGTTAAATCTCAGAGTTAATTGATTTACAAAAAGCCTTGTGTGACGGGGTTTGCATGTTTGAATACACTATTAAAAATATTTGATAAAAATGGGTATCGTTTTCTTTTAGCTGTAGAACTGCTTCCGATGCCATTCTATTCTTACGTAATGTCATACTTCGTTCACCATCACTGGTTGCATAATATGATAAAGCAGTGGATGTTTCCACTGCTAGAATTCTCTAGAAAAATCGGTCTTAACTGAAAAGTAAAGTAGAAATGTTCGCTAATGTAAAAGTATATATATCCAGTGCTAGCAGAATTTGGATCAGGCTGAAAGAAGGCTCAGGATGGCCATTCCAAGACGTGCCACCAGTCTAACAAATATCTGACTGCTGATCTGAGCAGTGTGTGAGGTGTGGTCTACCTGGTTGAGGTCTCCAAAACCATAGGAATTAATGGTTGAAGACTCTTAGTGAAATGACTGAAAATTGGTCACAATGGGGCATATGTATTTGCTCTTTGACATCTTGTGAAGCTTGAATATCTTTTCTCTAACCCTTATCATCAAGTTGTTTCTGATCTCAGACATCTTTTTGTACTTTGGTATCAGTCTTTTTCGACACACTTATTCGTTTCAAGATACTGTGAAGTGTGACAACTCGAACCAGCCCCGTTTTGTATAAGGTTTCACATTGGTTTTCTCTCTGGTATATATAGATACATGCTGTAGGTTTGAATGACACATCTTGTTTTACTAGTGGTAATATCTAGCGAGCGAGATAGTCTTCATATCCGTTACTGGGGAATCGGTCTTTCAAGGAGAATGGGTGTTCAGTCAATTATATAATGGAATTCCACTTTAAAGTTTTTGTGAAAAGTCAGTAATTTGCATAAGGATAACTGTTAGGGCTACTTTGGTAATAATTGTGGACAATGTCATGTACGCCTCAGAATGCATCTTAGAAATGTACTTGTATTTGTATCAAATCTTCATCCAAGTTGTTCTTTCACATTTCTTTGTTTTCTTTAATTTCTCTTTTCTTCTAGTGACTTTATTCAACTTTTGATTACATTATTTCCATTCCCTTATCACTCATATAAAATTGCCGTGTATTCTATTTTGAGACGTGACAAATTGAACCATTATTAAGTATTGCTAGGTGTCATGTTAATAATGAGTAATATATGCAGTGGTTTTCTGTATTGCAAGTGTAGGCTTTCATCAATCATTTGCCTTCTCTCACTGTTCGCAATTATGACAATCTGAGACATACTGGCCTAGTTCTTCTATCGTCTGAGAACCTTTTCTGTTGAACTTTAATTTATCAGCAAATACCTGGGAATATTGACAAACAGACTCAAGGTGTTTTTTATCAGGGCATTTAATTACTTCTTTAAATCAGTAGGATCCTACCATAAATGATGGACCTTTTAATAGAAGACATATCTCACTTGTCTCTCACTTAAAGAAGTTAAGACGTTATTAGTCGACAGATGGATCTTAGTTTTATCACCTGTGAAATGTAAATAATTGTCCAAACCTGTTTGTCACTTGTTTAGGTCAAGAAATATAAGCACTGATAGTGTATTAGTCTTGGCAGTTTAATGCGATATGTTTTGATCACTTGCTACAAAAGTTCAGGAGACAAGGTCAGTACTATAGTAATATATAGTTTTCATACACTTAACAAACCCAGAGCTGAGCTTCAGTATTCTGTCTGCATTCCGCTTGAATACTTTTTCAGTGTAAAATCACTGACTAGTACGTGTTCTAGTTATCTGTTTTCACAGTAATAACTTCAGCAAGCTTAAATGAAGCGGTGATTTAAAATTCCCAGCTGATTTTTCATCTTCTGAATAATATCATGAATGATAATCTTGCACCGTTTTTATTATTATCTTGTTTCTTCGCATTCTTTGTTGCAGGCTATTGACATGCGCTGGGGAGTGCCAGATGTCAGTCAACTAGATCATCTTGGCCCCAAGACATGTTATGATGAAGTTGAACACTGCAAATCTGTTTCAGTTGGCCCACCATTTCTTGTGAGTTACTAATTATAGAAAACTAAAAAATATGCGAAATTTAGACTGTACTTGGTCAGCGTTATGGAGAATATGAGATTCCATTTTCTATTACCTCAGAAGAAATGGAACTTATCAAGGAGTGGTCAAAAAAGATACCTGATCTGCCTGATAAATGTTCTGAAGTTTTTGAAGAATGGTATTTGCGCGATGAAAATGATATAAACCAAGTCTATCAATTAAAACCTACTGTGGAATCATTTCAACTGGTAAGACACTTTTATAATAAAGCAGAAGATGAAAGATGATATCATACCTACCTAGTCCTACTGAAGATTAGCATTATGTTGAGGTAGTGCTCATCACGGATTGACATCAGTTGGAGAACTATTGAGCACCTGGGAACACTGGATACCTGTTTCATCCTACTATGGGACTCCTCAGCAGTACGCACCCGCGACCCAGGTTTTGGATAGTTCTCCAACTGATGTCAGTCCGTGATGAATACCACCCCGAAATTAAAATCCCTATTAACCTCAGAATATATTAATATTATGTTTTAACCGATTCTTTTACGGTTTATAGGTATGTTTGTTCGATAGTAAATTCAAATGGCTCAGAATTAGCATGGTACACTCATTCTAAGAAATTTGTGGGCTACTTTCTCTACTGTTGTCCTGAAGAAAATTAAAGACTGATGGATGCATAGTTATTTTGCAGAAGAAATATCAGACGGTACTTCTGTACTTTGACTAAGTCAAATCAATATGACATTCGATCAGTCATTTGCTACTGTTTATTTTCAATACACCTTATTCGTTCTGTCTCAACTCATCATCATCATCATTATCAACATAGGACCAGGCATTACTGCGTAACGGTCCGAGTTGCCACACCTCATATCAGCACATCAAGTAAAAAGGTAGTGAGGTGAAGGATGAAGATAAGTGAATGCAGTCAAAAGAAATATAAAGTACGAGAAGAAAGGAAAGAGGAGTGACAAAATAGTGAGATTCGGTATAGCGGTTCTGAGCCATATCACCTAGGGTCTCCAACCACTGGTTCCTCTTGTCCCGTGGACCCCAACCACCTAGTCTGCATCGTCCTACATGGCTTAAACCAACAGTCAGAGACTTCATACATTGGTGCCATGTTTTAGTCTGGCCACCTCGGGCCTTTTTCCAGCCTGAACCCACCTCAGCCAACATTGTGTGACGAGGCAATCGGTGACTAGGCATACGTAGTACGTGTCCCAACCATCTCAGTCGATGAAGGTTCACAACCTCGTCGACTGACTTACCTCTTCTCCCTAAAACTCTACACCTAACTTCTGCATTACTCACATGGTGACACCACGGAATACGTCCTATACTACGAAGGCAACGGTGGTCAAATACCTGTAACCTTCTCATGTCTTCCACTTTCAATGGCCATGTTTCACAGCCATACAGTAGAACAGAGCGGACTGCTGTGCAGTACACGCGACCCTTAATAGACAAACGAATATCACGGCGGCGCCATAGGTGGCGCAAATTGGCAAAAGCCAATCGAGCCTTTTGTATCCGTGCAGAAATCTCATCGGCAACTAACCCACCGGGTTGATCCTACTTCCCAGGTAAGTGAAGTGGTCAACACACTCAACCACTTCACTCTCTATTGTTAACCGCGGTACCGCTGAAGACCAGTCCTGGAGCAAAAATTTGCATTTGGGTGGTGAAAATCGCATCCCAAACATTCTCAAATTCCCACTCAAAGTGTTCAGAAGACTCTGCATCTTGTCAGCGTCTTCACCTAACAGGACTATGTCATCTGCATATTCTAGATCTAAGGAAAATTCACCTGTGATCCGGTCAACGTCTTTGTAATTAGGTGACGAGAGGGAAACCTCCATAAGAATATCTATGATAAAATTAAATAAGAATGGGGATAGTGGGCATCCTTGACGGACACCACTTGATGAGTATAGCTCCCTGGACAACTCACCATAGGCTCTAACATGCCCACAAGTGTTCGAGTAGAGAGCTTTCAATAAGGTGATGTACTTACTAGGCACGCCTTTCAGTGACAGACACTGCCATAAGACTTCTCGATCAACGGAGTCAAATGCCGCCTTCAGGTCGAGAAATACAGCTATTGTCGGGCGTCTGTAAGCATGCCTATGTTCCAGGACCTGGCGCAGTGTGAATATTTGGTCGATACATCCACGGCCAGGTCTAAAGCCTGCCTGGTTTTCTCGGGCTTGCTGTTCCCGAGCTCCACTCAGGCGTCGGAGAATTATAGAACTTAGGATCTTAGACACTATGTTTGTCAGGCTGATTCCTCTGTGGTTATCACAAGAGGACTTCTCGCCTTTCTTGAAGACTGGGATGATGAGTGACTTAGACCAGTCGGAGGGGATCGTATTTGATTCCCATATACTGGCTAACACTTCCGTTAGCCTGACTAAGAGAACTCTACCACCATTCTTGTATACCTCAGCAGGTAGTCCGTCTGGTCCTGCTGCCCTTCCCCGTTTCAGGCTACCTACCGCTTTCTCAACTTCTTCTAGTGTTGGGGGACCTGTCTCTATGTCCCATTCAGGGTCCGACTGGATAGCGGGCAGCGCAATGGTGGCTGGAGGCCAGTTAAACTGTTCCTCAAAGTGTTCTGCCCATCGTCCCAGTCGCCTTCCCTGCGAGTGAATCGCCGATCCGTCCTTCTCCGCTATAACCTCACTAACTGTTGTTGACCATTTCCCCCCAGTCTCCTTAATAAGTCTAAATAACTGTCTACTGTTACCGATCGCCGCTGCCTTTTCCATCTCTTTAGCCTTTGCTGCCCACCACTGTTCACGATCGTTGCGCAGACTTTTCGTCAGTTTATTTTTAAGTTGCGCTCGCTCTTCATTGTACTCAGAGCCTGCAGGGATGCATTCACGTGCATCCATTAGTTTGGAAGAAGCTGCTGATATCCACTGGCTCTTTTTAGCCATTATCTTGGAGTCGGCTACAGTCTCCAGTGCTGCTTTTACAGTAGACTGAAGATGGCACCAAGCTTCTTCTGGATGAGTGACAGTCTTTTGTTCCGATAACTGCCTAGCCAACTTCTCACTGAACACGGCTTTGGTGTTTTCGTTGTCCAGCAGAACTCGTAGTGGTTTTGTTGCCAAATTTTTTCTACGTCCATTGAGACGCAGGCATATACGTGCTCGGACCAACGCATGATCGCTGTCCAAACACGTACTCCAGAAGGAGCGGCAGTCTTCCACCGATCCTCTCCAGCGATGACTAATAGCAATGTGGTCTATCTGTGTCCATCGCTGAGTCGAGCTCGGTGGACGCCAGGTCAGACAGTGCCTTTCTTTATGTCTGAAATTTGTGCTGGCTAAAAATAGGCGGTTATCTGAGCATAGTTGTAATAGGCGATCACCGTTATCTGTACGTTCAGCTGGGATTCCGAAAGTGCCACCTAAGTGCCTTTCTGCCTCACTCAGTCTACCCACCTGTGCGTTGAGGTCACCTGCAACAACCACTACGTCCGAACGTTTGGCTTTCGAGAGGAGGTTAGACAGTTTATGGTAGAACTCGTCCTTCACTTCATCCGAACTACAGTCAGTGGGTGCGTAAGCAGAGATTACAAAGAGACAACGGCGAGTCTCACTATTCCTTTTAGTTCTCACTGTGCCGTTCAGCCTCATAGCGCAGAGGCGACTATCAACTGGGATCCAGTCTAGTAGTGAGTTTTCTGCCCTGGTGCTTAATGCTATACCTACACCTGCAAGACCACGAGAGCTAGCTATCGAATCTCCAGAAACTCGAAGGGTGAATTTTGCAGATTCACCAGATTGGTCAGGAGAGGTCAGGTGAATAACCACACTTGGGTCCTGTATGCGTGTCTCACAAACACAGCACACATCCATGCCCGAGTTGCTAGAGTCTTTGCCAACGAAGCCTGTTGGCCAATTTGACGGAGGGTGCGGACATTGAAGGCTCCAATATGTAATTTGGAGCGTGGTTTAAGGAGACCAGGGGCTGTTCTGTGGACTCAGATCGTTGTCGAAGGCTGCAGAGGTAGGAGAAATTGAAGATGATGCAGCATCATTAATTAAGAGACGTGAAGGAAGATTAGAAGGTAATGATGGAGGAGGAGGATAGCAGTCAGAAGAAACTTGGGTGCTGACAGAGTTGTGAGGGCGGTTGACACTTCCCGGCTGCCCACACCGTGGAAGGCTATTTCTTCTTAAGGTACCTGAAAGAGATTTGTGTGACCGCAGAGCCCATCGGACATCTGCTTGAGGCCTGTCACACCCAGCCTTTTGAGTATGATTATTTTGAATTTTTGTATTTTTGGGGCCGGATGAGCGAAAGGAAACGACAAGTGAACCAACACCGCCGGCCCGGCAGACCGTGGGGCGTGGTGGAGTGTGTTATTTTTGGGGCCGACCTTTTCTAACCCCCCCTTCCACTGAGAAGGCAGCATCAGCTTGGCACTGCTGGTCATCCAAGGGAAACACCTTACTGCTGTCACACCCCATCCAGCTAGCAGCAGTACGACTTCGCCCTCAGACCCCCATCATAGTGTAGCAATTTACACTATAACGGTAACTGCTTTTCGTCTAACCACTACCCAACAGACCTTTCTGGTATGGTAGGACCTCGAGGGAACAAGCGTTCCACCAGCATAGCTCGTTGGGTCATTGTGATATGCAAGCCCGACCACCACGTCAAGGTAGCAACTGTTACGGTTCAACGCGTAATACACGAAACCATGTGTGATTAACTTTAGGGTGATTTTCCCTGATGATCAACTAAAGACTTTATGATCTTCGAATTGATTCTTCACGAGGTCCTGCATCTACATGGCTCAGTAGTCCCTAACAAAGATTAAACAGCTGTCCAATACTCACAGGTTTTCCACTGATTGTCTAGCTGACTTCAATTCATAACAATAACTTGAGATCAGTCACTTTGTATAGAATCGTCAACTGAACTAAATTGTTGATCATTTTGTGCCCATCATTTTTCCTTTTCTATTCGGAAACACTACTACTGTCTTACAAATAGACTTACCACACATAATGTCGTAATAAATACACATCAACATTTTGACATGAAAATGAGGATGTACTTTTTCTCCTGATATGAATAATTTTTCATATGATTACGTAATAGAAATAATAAGAAACAACTATGATCCCAATAGTTTTAGTTTTATCATATCTTCCCTAGAATATACATCATCAACTAGGTAACACGAATGGAGTTAATCTAGCCTAGTGTTATGACTTGTTTCCCTACGTTATGTTACTAAAATATTGAGCTGAATTTATTAGACAGTACACGTAAGGTATGTTCATTATTTGTGTATCGACTACATTTCCTGAAACTGATGACTAACTATGAAATTAAATGAATTCATCTTATATTACACTTTTCAGTTTCATATTATTATTATTATTATTATTGTTATTATTATTTAGCCTTATCCATTGGAAACCACTTTGAACCAATAAACCCAATTTAAACGATACACTAGGCAGACAACAGTAGTCAACTGTGAAACGAAGTATTTTTTATACAGTGCTGAACAAGAATAGGCATAATAGTTAAGTAGGCACGCGTCGTTGTAGCTTGTTCCTAGAATGTATAGCATTTAAGATAGAGAAATTTGACGAAAAGAAAAAATAGTTTAACAAGTTTTTCAGATAATTTTCTATGGAACAGCAGTATGTTGTTAAATGATGAGCATTAAAAATACCGGTTCCAAAAACTTACTCGAATATATACGAAGTGCAAATTTCTTTCAATAATATACCATAAATAAATAGGCAGATGATCTGTAAAACGCATTTCAGTAACTTGTCACCTTGATGTAACACACCTTGATGCGAACATCATTAAAAGAAAGAAATGAAATGCTGCATATCCAATTGGGAAGTCCTGAGGCGCCAGTCGATTTCGAAGCAGTTTGTGCGATAGATCCAGGTCTGTTGGAGTAAATATGAAAATCAACGGGACTAAAGGATTTTTTATTCCTAGTTAAGGACTTTTTGTTGCAAATTGCCTATTATTTGGACTGAATCAAGCTTACGATATTTATGTTTCGCATTTAATCACCAAAATATACCTTAAAAGCTCATGTTTTCCAACCATTGGTTCCTACTTAAGGTAGTGCACCACACTGTATACAGTCCTAAGTTAGAACTAAACAGCATGCTAATGTGACATTATTTCACTGACATGATTCTCCTCAGCAGTTTAAAACTCAAAAAGAATGCATTCACAAATGATTCACGTACTTTATTCCAATTGACAAAAACTTATCGATAGGAACTGGAAATACAAAAAATTCAGAATTGAACCAACTAGTTCTGAGAGAGAATTAACTTTTTATAACATCATTGGTGAATATTATCAAGAGACGTTAAGATCAGATAGTAACAGCAATTAGTTAGGAATGGGAACTTAACATCATGGATTAGATTAGGTAACCGTAAAAATTAACGAGTTAACATTTATTACTATTTATCGACATACTTGTTATTCTCCGTTGTTTTGTTGGATCGAATTGTTCGACCTCTATTGGCATATGGGCTCCCATGCGGATGCCTCGATATTACCTGAATGTTAATTATGATAATTTGGTCGAGGTCGAACAACTCGATCCAACAAACAACGTAGAATAACAAGTATGTCAATAAATAGTAATAACTACTACCCACTGTACAAGAAATGGCTATCGTTCCTCCGTAGTATAGTGGAAAACGCCTTGGCGTTTGAAGCAATGGGTACGAGGTTCGAGTCTCAGTGTGGGAAACATCACCGGGGTGCAGGTATATCCAGCTGAGGAGTCCCAAGTAGGGTGAAACGCGCATCCTGGATCCTTCTGCTAGCCACAACCAACCGAATTATCAAAATTAACATTTAGCTGAAAAGTGATATCAGTGTTACGATAACGAAGATTGGGTATAAAAAAGAATGGAAGAAGTGACTAGTGAAAATGAGGTAACTAAATTTGGAATATATTTTGGTAAAATGTAATCACCAGGTTAAAGTGAAATTGACAACTGTATCCTTTTGAATATATAGATTAGCTGCAAGCTTTTTAATAGCAAGAGCTTTAATAAAACAATAAGTTTGAGTTATGCTGTTTATCATTTCCTCTGACTGATCTAAGGTCATCCACATCATGGTGGGTGTCTAACTGGTGATGAGTGACCGCACTGTTGAGTTCACGTTCACCCTCTAGTCTTAGTTTTTTTAAGAATATGCTCAGAAATTCAAATAATAGCCTTCCTCTTTGTTCTTGCAATGTATATTTTTTTTACAGGGAAAGGAAACCTGTCATACACAATTGGATAGAGGTTAAGAAACTCCCCTCCTTTGATTGTCAGAGCAAACAGTTTATCTGTAGCATACAAACCACCTTTGTGGTACAATCTGTCCTCTTTAGTTTGAGATTTTGTTTGCATTCGATCCTTTTGGCGATTTCCATGTTGCATCTAAGCTATTTAAAATACCTAAAGCAAGATATTCAGAGAAGAGGACTCTTCTCAATGAATTAATTCTGAAGCTGTACATTCGTGTATATATATATATATATATATATATATATATATATATATATATATATATATATATATATATATATATATATATATATACAAATGTACTGTTTGAGAGTAAATTCGTTTAAAAAATTATTGTTGGCTAAATACTTTGTCTTTGGTGTTACAACGGAAATTATGAATGCATTTCAAATACATAAAAAACGTAGTTAAAATAAGAGCCATCTAACTAATTACGGGCTTAACATTTAAATGCGCATAAAAGGTGTGCTATCAGGCCACCCTAACAACAATTGAAATAACCAATCAAACTTTTCTTTCTTATTAAAATCTTCCTTTTCAGCCTCAATGAAGAAGCCTAATTGGTTATTTCGATCGTTGCTAGGGTGGCCTTTAAAGTCGGGTCAAAAGTTGGGGTGACTTTAAAGACCAACCCTGTCAACACTGTTGTGACAGCCAATCACATTCTTTTGTTTTATGGAAAAGTACTTTCCCAGGCAAGATACTGAATCCTAATTGGTCTATTCAGAAGTTGCTAGGGTGGCCTTAAAGTCAGTCAACATAATGGGCTAACTATGGTGACCAATTCAACTGGACGATATAGAGTATTAGCCTAATTTTAAAGGCCACTTTAGCAACAGTCAAAATGACCAATTTCTCCATTATCTACCGGAAAGGCAGATTCTCATTATATACAGAAGTCTAATTGGTCATTTCAGTTTTTGCTATGGTGGCCTTTAAAGTCACACAAATACTATTGATTTGCAGCTAAATGTCTGTCGTGCACATTACTAAGGCCATTTGAATTCACCTCTTGTTAAAGGAAGGGTTGAGGATTGAGTTGCAGTGTTTATGCTTTCTTCCAGTTAGGTCTTCATAATTAAAGGTGACATGTCATATGAAAGCATGAATTTAGTTTTTAAAAATGTCTATAGTTTCCAACATTCAAGTGAATTGTAATATGTCTTGAGCGGGGTGGTTAGCTATCTTTACATGAATCAGTTTCAACTGTTTCACTAGGCACTGAATACGAGAGATAAAGAGTTGAACGCATCCAGTATTAGTTCATCTCAAATGTTATGGTCAACTAGCTAAGAGTTATAATCCATTTTTCCAGTGAACTGTCATTCAAAAATTCATAATCTACTTCACTTTTTCAACATACTTGTGTTTGAGGATTATAACATAACCAGAACATTCATCTGATTAAAGAATGACAAGAAAGTTATTTTCCTTTTTGAAACTGTTTCCAGCTTGAGAAACTCAGTATGATCGGCAAAATAGAAATACTCTCATACTGTCATGCTACAGTTATATTATTTCAAAGAATTATCATATTTAAACAGCGTAATGAGAAGACGAAGATTATCTGAAACATGTGATGTGTTAGCACTATACATTTCGAACAATCTGGTCACACATGCAATTAAAGAAGGTTGAACATGTACCTAAGTGGCTACAAAAACAAATGATCTCAACAGATCCGATAAGTGCAGGTGACAAACATCCATCTTCGTCTATCGCTATATACATACTACAAACTAACCATAGGATAAACATAAAAACAGCCTTTAAAGTACTACATAAAAGTGGTCAGAGCCGCGTGCTTAAATTTACTGAAGCTCTTGCCATCCGTAAACTTAAACCCCTTTTATGTATACAAAAACAATTCGTACTCACGTTGAACCTGCCTTGGTAGTATTGACTTTAATTTTCATACCATGAGTAAGGTTTTTTGCTTTTTCTATCCCTTCCTATTCTTATGTTTCCTATAAACTTCATTGACCTTTTTCGTAAATTTTCACATAAATAGTTCGACAAGTCCATGTGTGATTAGATTGTTCGAAGTGTATAGCGCTAATACATCACATGTTTCAGATAATCTTCGTCTTTTCATTACGCTGTTTAAATTTATCAAAGGGACCAGTTGCTTTAAATTATCATATTATACTTGGAATATGTTAAACTAAATATATTTCATGCAGATTGATAGAATCGGTATTTTAATTTTCAGTAATTTTTATATTGGATAGGAAGATAAGAAATTTATACAAAAAGCTAAACAACGATGGTATGAATGCCGTGGAATTATGCAAATTGGGATAAGTAAAATAATCCCTGTACTAACTGAAAAAGGGTTAATATCAAAACAAGAAGCAAGAAAATATGCAATTTCAGGTAGTGTTAAGGAAGCTTTTTATTGATGTTACTTTTGTGTTTCGATCTTCTTTTTCATGAAGTAATGAAGAACAACATTATTTTTCATCTTATTGGTCATCTTGCCTATTTTTGTTGCTTCCTAATAGTTTAAAAGAAAATAGAATTTACTGAGAATAAACGAGAATCTGTGGTATTGAATTAATGACTCGACCTTGGTATCTCACACTTATGACCATGGCAAGCCTGTAATACATGCTTTAATTCAATTCAGATCTTCGCTCTTGCATAGTATTTTAGTTACCGAAGGATTTTTGAGGTCCTTTTAAAGTGTGCAAACAATTGGAATTTTCATAAAGAATTTTTTGTCACCATTTCTATCTACCTGTTTACCGTGGTTATAACCATATTGTTTAGATGAGATAATTCATAACGGTAGTTACTTGGTACTCACTATACTTTTAATTTGTTCAAAGTTATAATACACCCATATTGTTGCATATATATACTGTAAAGGAATGTTGGTGATTGAAGGAGGAATGAAGACACAAGGGTTGTTGCAAGGTGAAACCCAGCAACCCTTAGGTACCTATCTAGGCGACACAGCAGCTAACCAGGTTTCAATTTTACTGCTTTGATGATAACGAAAAAATAGTTACAAATCACTAATTCACATGATAACTACATGAAACTCAATGATTGAAGCAAAACTGAGAAAGTTGGTTAGCAGTTGCGTTAGCTGTTTCAGTCGGTAGAATGCCGAGCAGGTTATCTGGAGGTCGCTAGTTCGAATTCTGCAACAACTGTAGTTTTTATTTCAACTTTAGTCATCACCGTTAAGCACTCATTCATAACAGTTGATAGTGGGCAGTCACCAGGATCTCCTGGACCTAGATTTCGTGCCTGTTGGCACTTGTCTACAAGGTGTATCGGTAACCTCAGAGAAAGTGATGTCCCCTCTGAGATTTGGGCTCATGCCACAGAGTGTTGTAATCAGCGACGTTACCCTAACCAACTTACATCTATCAAAAGTGCAACGCGATAGTGAGCCTCATAGCTTAGTGGCTACATTGCAAGATGATCGATAGAATTCGGTCAGCATTCAGGACTACACATCATGAAATTGGTTGCTCTCCAGTGACCAGTCTGTGTAAGCGATCCAGTCCTACAGAAGGTGGGTCGTCCTTCAGAACAGCTCGGTAGTAACTTCATTAACCACAACGCTGGGTTCGAACCCTGAAGTGGACATCACTTCCCTCGACTTTGCAGATATGCCTTGCAGAGCAGTGCCAACAAGCATGGAAACTGGGTCAACAAGGGCTTCCTGTAGACTGCCTACAATCAACTAACATCATATGTGGCAGATTAGCATATATTACACTGAAACAAATACACTGTCCCTTTGTACTATCCTCATCCCTTAACATAATTTCACTCTAAACCTAATTTCTTTTTGTATAGTTTTTAACTGTTAACTTCAGCGTTGAAATGAATCTTTCCGTACTTAAGTACTAGATTTTTGCAAAACTGTTTAAAATGATACCTTTGTTAATTGTAATAACAATTAACGGTTTTACAGATACATTGGTGGTTTTTAACTTGTTTGCACTATGGATAAGGCGTACATATTGTAATTTTTACAAAAAGTTGTGAAACAACTTCAAGTGTAATTTGAATAGTCATCTAGAATCTTAATTACTAAATCACTCTTTTCCTCAGTAACATCGTATGTCATAATCTATAGATTCTGTACAATGTTAAACATTTCAGCCATATCCACATTAAAATCCAATACGGTGTCAGATGGAGCGTTTTAATATTTCAGTAGTAGCAACTTTAATTAATTATTTTAACTTCATGTGAACTTCAATGTAGTCAAAATTATACTTAAATGAAATTCTCTGCCTTGTTAATATTCAGTTAGATGATCAGATAATTTAAGACTAAATCACTGTCTAAAATGATTTCGGGGAAATCTAAACTTCCTCCTTCTTTTTAGAATTTGAATATCAATTAGCAATAATCTGAAGTTTTAATGAAACTGACTTTCGATATAATTAATAGTATTACTATGATATGAGTTAATTTGACTATGACCGACAAGCAAAAATGGCTAGTTGGATATAAGTAGCAATATAGAGTTCTACTCAAAAGCATATAATTTTGCAACAGTATACAAATAGAGATATTGTAATCCACAAAAATGATGATATAAGTGAAAGTGAACAATAAGCATAAAATTAAGATTCCTTAGAGGAAAATATATCCAGTTGATTTTTAGTCATGCAAATAAAGCTTTTCAAACACTGAATGAATCGACTGAATAACCACTCAGCTGTAAGAAATGCCAACGTGAGTTATTGAATTTCTTTGAGTAGGATGAAAATTCTTCATTCATCAGTCAGTATACATGAATTCAACTTCAAGCGTATGAGATAATACTTTCTTGCCAAGACAGAACATTTTATGAGATCTTCAGTTTGTTCACTAGTAAAATAACACTTTTTGGAAAAAATTCCATGTCTAATTATATATAAGTGATGTAATACACTACCTTATACTGTATTTTGTCATCTAGTTACTGAACATGAAATTATATTTGGCCTACTGAATGCCGATGATTCAATTAAGCGTAGATGTGCCGCATTCACACGAAATATCAAAGAAATTGATCAGGTTATACAAAGTAAAAAAGCAGATAAGTAAGTGTACATTTAATGTATATTTACAAGGAATGGCTTGTTATTTTTCCTTCCTACTAATATTTCTTTAATTTCTTTTCCTCTTATAGATTTTTAGACCTCAATCATGATGGTACATTAGATGAAACACGTTATGAACAGATAAATGACTTAAAGAATATTACTTTGGCTGCTGTATTGAAAGAGAATAATATACGTACGTATGATGTACCATGGAAAGTATTTGTAAATAATGGTCTAGAACGTAAGTTTATTGAAAAATGGATTAGTCTTTTAAAACATTTGTTTACATAAAAAAGCTCTTGCAACTCAGCATATACTATCTAATGTTGTTTTGTTTTTTCACTATGACTATCTCAAGTAACCATGGTTGTTTAGCAGGCTTGCATTGCTGATACCGTGTAATGATTGAAGATCGAATAAAAACTTGTGTCGCGGCAGGACTCGAACCAGAAGCCCAAGGGTTATTGGCCTGGTTCTCCACCTATTGAGCCATGTTTGCCTTCTTTTGATCTTTGTGTTACTTAGATTGAATTGATCTAGCCATGACGGTCAATGTGGTAGATAAGGGATGATTGCTTAAAGCTAAATATTTTATGCGTTGTTGAAAAAAGAAACAACAGTATACCAGTAAAAATTACATAATAGTGTTAATTAGTGTGGAAAATTCGGTTTTACATGAATACCTAAAGAAAAGTTATCATTATTTGGGTACACTTTTCTGTGTAATATGTGAAGCGCTTGTTGTCACCAAAAAGCTATTGGTATAACACATGAATGGCTTTAAAAAGCCTGTTGTTCTGTCTACTCATTCTATACTTCTTAAATTGGTTACAGAATTTCATTAATGTGTCTGCCACAAAGCATTTTCATCTGGTAATCAGTTATTTTAGAAAGTAGCCTAGCGTAAGTGCAACAGCTGTTACTGTTAACATCTACTTCTTTTCTTGTTCCTGCATGATGCCTTGGTTGTGTTTTTTTTAACTACTTAAACTCCTGTTTCACTCTAAGTGTTGATATTCAACATACTATTCTACGCCAAGAAAGTAAAACAGTCAACCGGTTTGTGAACCTGCAGTGATTGAAGCGAGGGGAGCACGTATCATTTTTGCTAAGACATTATTTATTCAGACCTATGACCATGGATGAAGTAAGATCAGACTAGGAAACTGCTAAAGGTGTCTAAGCAATAAATTGATGAATTGCTGTATTTTATATTCATCATAACTAGTCAAATAATAGAAATAAAATACCTATTTCACCTTTAACTTGTTGTCTAAAAAAATGATTCATAATTTTCTACAACTGATCAAATTCAACACTGATATACGGGTCCTTTTAATGTTGACGATAAGCATATAAATCAAATTTTATCAACTCGGTAGATGTGTCAAGTAATAATGATGAAAAAATGAAACTTTTATCAGTAATGGTTATCTTGTTCAGAGATTTCAGTTTACTAGCACGTTTCTGCTTACAGTAAAAATAATAATAAGTGGAATGGTAATCAAAGGAAATAGCCTGAAAACAAAACACTATTATTTATTGATACTTGTAATTCTCCTTGTTATACTGGATGAAATTAATCGATCTCTGTTGGCATATGGGCTCTTGTGAGGACACCTCCATATTGCCTGAATATTTATTGCCATAACTGACTTGGTTGGGGCTAGGACTGGAAACCAGGACGCGCGTTTTGTCCTGTTTGGGGCTCGTCAGTTGGATATACTTGTACCCTAGTGAGTGATGTTTTCACTGAAACTCGAACCTCGCACCCATTGCTTAGAACGATAAAACTGTATCCAATAGGCAAGTGAGACAAGATAGCCATCTCTTGAGGTTCTAGTCTTATTGGGAATAACACCACTCCCTGGGATGCAGGTACATCCAGCTAACGAGTCCTAAATAGTAAGAGATGCGCGCTCTGGATTCTGTTGTTAGCTACAACCAAGTCAGTTAAAACATGGAATTGCGTGAGATCGTACGTTCGCACTAAAGCATAGAATACTTTACTTTTTAAGTCATTATTTTAGAGACTTTATGACTGGTTGACAAAAGCAGAAATAAAGTTTACTGTAAGATCATGAATTCATTCCAGGCTTGACGTAAAAGTCTATCCCTGTGGATTGCTGACAAAAATGGGACTATGCTAAGTGACTTTCTGTACGGTTCACTATTCTGTGCAAAATATAACCTTGAACATATCTAGAATATACTGTCTATCTGAATTCAGATATTTTTAACCGATGCACTCGTGCTAAATAACTGATCATATTTGCAAATATCATAGTTATGAACACTATACACATATTTCACTGCCATGAAATATGTATGAAGTTGATGTAAAACGTGCCAACTCTCTGTTTCGTTCCGAAGAAATGGATTTATATCACTCTATCATACAAAGGTGAGTCTTACAGCGCAATTTTAAAACGAAAACTAGAGTCTGTCATTAGCGAAACATACTATACAGTTTAGCCTATCGTAGTTGAGAAGAGTAAACACACGCTGCAACATAGATCTCATCATTATTTACACGACTGTGTCTCATCTCATGGCGTGCACCGGTTTCCGTTTGTATGTGAAAACATATACATGGGAAAGACTAGTACTTGGGGGTGATGGAACATGCACCAAAATATCTACACAAATAACTAGATTCACATACATAAGTAAGGGTAGGCAGCAAGCAGACAACCATCATAATACATTGCAAAATATATTACGGATAAACATCATAGGACTGATATTAATAGCAGCCTTTACAGTTTTGTTTAAGTCCTGCTAGGGGCGTATAATTAAGTTTGCTGAAGCATTAACCAAACAAATTTTATCCTCCCTTGTTTGTTCAAAAACAGTTCGTCCTTAAGCTAAACCAACTGTGGTTATCTTATTACCAAGGTTGCCTTCAGATCTTATCATTCTCCCCTCATTACCTTTGTTATTATCAAATGCCTTGTTTTTCCCTCCCCCACTTCCAATTTTCGTATTATTATCACTTATAAACATAATTAGCGCAAAATTAATGTGAGTTAATGAAAATCTCTGACATTTCGTTTGGGTTTTCCCCTCAATAAAATGTGAATTCATGAATAATTTATATGCATAAGGTAATATTGACTTTCACGTATACCACTCATCAAATAAGCTAATTATAAGTAATCGACACTGTCAAAATACAATAAAAATCTCTATGACATAATACAATAACTCATGTAACAGTTAGTCAAGGATTATTAGCATCTGTTTAACTATATCTGTTCTTATTTTTCATCTTTCAAATTTAGGTTCCTTATATTTACGAAAATTTAGTATGGATTTTGAAAGTAAAACAATTGCTCTAATTGATAAAGCGGTATCAGAAATGTCAACTTTTGAAAATGATGATTTATATGTGGAGGTTTTGCAGCATTTAAATCAATGCAATGAATTTGTAAAAGAATTCCATGGTCGTTACAATGTCTTAGAGATTGTGAAACGTTATATTCAAGGAAGTTCTTCAGGTAAAGTGAAAATTCTGTGTAATATTTAACTGTATACAATTGCAACATATAAAAGTTGAAATAATGTGATAAATGTGATTTTATTTTGTTACTGGGTGATGATTGAAGGTAAAATGAAAGTTTGAACTGCAGCCACATTCGAACCACAATGACTACCAAGTTTCTGGCCTGATGCTCTACCAACTGAAATATGAGGTTCGACTACTGACTAGCTTTTTATTTCGCTCCAATCACCCGGGATTTTGTCCGACTACCAAGAATTACTTCTGCTTGATCGTACTCACACTAGCTGAGTAGTCAGTAATACAGTCTTATTAACATTTACTGGACTACCAATGACAGAGGTGTGGAAAATTCCACTTTCACTGGATATGTATAATAAAAGCTGATAAGACCATTTTTAAAAAAAAAACAGACATGGGAAGTTGAACGGTCAGTTTTATTTGATTATAAGCAATAATCTAGCTCAAAACATCATTTGGTAGATAATAATATAACGTTGTGAATAATATGAAGTTGTATTGGTTTTAATCAGTTATAAAGAATTCTTCAAATTTTGTCGTTGTTTGTTTTATCTGTTAATCGATCAAACCGAATTGATCGGTCGCACAAAAAGCGGCTATCATGATTCTCTGTTCTACTGTATAACTCTCTGGCATATGAAGCGATCGGCCCAGCGTTTGAGTCTTAGTGGGAACAACATCACCCACTGGGAGGGAGGCATATCCATCTGAAGAGTTCCAAATAGAATGAGACGCGCATCCTAGATCCTTCTGCAGGGCCCCTATCCATCATTACTATAATTCTTTAAATTCTTCTGATAATTTTTCTGCATGCAACATAATGCCTTATTTCAGTAGCTTGGAAATATGAAAGACATCAAAAGGTTTTTTATTTCATTACATTTATAACTGCTGATGTCGGTGGTAAACATCAGCAAACCTCGCATTAAAGTTCACTAGTTTCACCATTGGGTGATGGTCTTTTGAATTCGATAGAGTACACTAATTGGGCATATCTGCAGAATGCCTCTTTGAAAACTGTTTAAATAAATGATAAGTTTCTTAACTAAATGCTTCCTTTGATGTTTCTAGGATTCCTGATATGAGTAAAATACACTTTTCTAGATGTGACTAGCTGTTGGATACACTACATAACCTGTCTAACAACAAACTTCTAGTATCTAATGTATTCTAGTGAGAATTCTGTTTCTCGCGAGTCTGACGACAAAATTGAGCAACCTCTTATGATGTTTCCATACTAGACTAGTCTATTTGATTTAAAGTCAGTGTATTGAAATGTAAACTTCTTTTCATGCCATCGCACCTAGTTATTTGTATCACAGTTTTTCCTTAAAACTACAAAAATCTTGAAACCCAGCGGTTTAAAGTCAGTACTGACCTTTACAGTGCGCTGAGGAAGTGATAAGCATTCATCTTTTTAAGAGGTGTACTCAGTTTTGCATCTTATGGTTTTCATTTAATTTCTATTTTCTTTCTTTGGTTTCTGATGATTAGTTCATTATCATCATTTTTATTATTGTCATTTTCTCTCTTCACATTCTAAGGTTCTGTTGAATGGAAATTGTTCTGTAATGCTTCGATACGACTCAAACTTTATCGAATCAGTCACTTTTACTTTCATTATCTTTGCTAGCGAAAGAGATGGAAAAAGTATCGGGATTGAGTACTACCCAACAATTATTTACACTCACTAAGGATACCTACAAGAAGAAGAAGACGGTTAGTGAAACCGTCACAGAAAAGTATGAGACCTTGACAACCTGTCAAGGCAGACAGCTGGAACGTTTGGCAGAACATTTTGAAACACAGTTCAACTGTCTTACATCAGCGCTCCATTTGTCCAGCCGTCGACCTGTACCTGAATGAGACGTAGATGTTATTTCTCCAACTCTCCTGGAATTTGAGGAGGCTGTTTTAAACCTAGAACGATACAAAACAGCAAGACCTAACGGTTTACCACAAGAAGTCTTTAAGGATGGAGTAACGCGAGTCTACTTCAGTGATCATTCCAGTATATATGAAGGTAGAGAATTCTCCTTACAGCAACAGTAGTAGGATCAGTTTAACTAACACCATGTGCAAGATCAGGTTGTCCATAGTTATTCGATGCCTAACTGGAGCTTGAGGGTAGCAAACTCGAGAAATCCAGGTAGGTCATAGACTCAAGCGAGGGCGCATCGATCAGATATTCACTCTCTGACTGGTTCTGGAACACAGGCATACTTACTGGTTGTTGACACTTGCATTCGACCGTCGTGTGTTGTGGCAGTGTCTGACTATAAAGGCGGTAGCAAGCAAGTAAATAATGCTTATCAGAGCTCTCCACTGGAACTCATGTGGCGATATATAAGGGTTTATTGAAAGTTAGAATCAAAACTGACGACAACTAATCGTGTCCATCTGGTTAGTTTTCATTACTCAGACGATATTGTCCTGCCACATGAAGACGCTGACAAAACGCGGCGTATTCTGAACGCATTGAGGAGAAATCTGAGTATGTTTGGCATGCGTCTCGTACCCGTCAAATTTAAGATAATGCTCCATGACTGGCCTGAAATTACTCCAACTTCAGTGGCAGGGAGTGAAGTGGTGAAACGTATTGACCACTTCACTTACTTGAGAAGTTGCCCCCAATGCAAACGGACTGGTTGCTGACGAAATCTTAGCTGGGATACAAAAGACCTATATGACATTTGTCAAATTTCGTCATCTCTGGCACTGATGGGCAATATATATATGACTACTTATTGAAGGATGAGTATTTGGCGCTGCAGTCCCTTCTTTCATATTATATGAATATGAGACCTGACGTTAAAAGTACAGGTTTCCGAACACAGGTATTTTTGTAGCATTGCTTAAGTATGATGGAATCATTATGTGAGCGATGTTGAGGTAAGGCACAGAGTACTAATCAAGACAAGCAAGTAAGTTGATAAGGTTGTGAACCCTCACCGCCTGACGTGGCTTAGAGATGTGTTGTGCATGCTGAGTCAGCGCTATGTTAGGGGAAACTGGATTAAGTTGCAAGTGGGTTGAGGGTGGCCAGATCGAGACGTGGAATCAGCCCATGAAGTCTTTGAATGTTGGTCTGAGCTGTGTGGAGAGATTTAAACTACCTGGCTTGGGTCTCCGAGACGATAGGAATCAGTGGTTGAGGACTTTTGGTGATATGGTTGAAAAACGGTTACAATGGTGCATATTTATTTTCTCCTTGACGTCTTACAAAGGTTGAATATTTTCATTAACCTTTATCTTCAGATTTTTTTCACCTCTCGCACACCTTTGTCTAGTTTGATATCGGTCTTTTTCTATCCACTTGTTCTTAAAGTGCTACAGTGAATTATGGCTACTTGAACCAATAGACTTACAAGAGAGGTTATACGTTGATTTTGTGTTTTTCTATCCTAATTAAGACTACATAACTCCCTGCTATATCTGAAATCACTTTCCTTGCGATTGTTTAATATTTTGTGATGAACAAAACGTTCAAGTGTCTATCAACTGTTGATCGTCATCTGCCTACAAGAACTAAAACACAATAACTTGAGAAAATTATGAAATGTGTTAGGGCATTTCACTCGATGAATTATCTAACCTTTTACTACATTGTTTACTAAACTACTTTCATCAGTTAGTAAATGCTACTCAATTCACCTGAACAGAAATTCAACATTATTCAATAAAGTTTCTTAAGGAAAAGCATAACAGCTCAGGGAACGAGTTGCCGTGGTCGTTGGCACAACTAAAAAGTCTTTTCCCTTCCTAACCCGAACAAGATGTAGCTATCTTTGATAATTTTAAGAAGAAGAATCCTTCAACTATAATTACCACCGACTTTTATGCGATTAATAATCCCTTTGATATGGCAGAGAAAACTCATATATTTAGAATAGCCTTTGTATTACACCATTCCAAAGATACTGTCCTTGTTACTGATGAGACAAACCAATATCAAAGGAAAATATTTTAGAAAGCATTAAATTCCATAAATGACAAAGAAAGGAAAGAGAGTGTTAAACTAAATTTAGTGAAAATTAACATCTTGGGTGATCGGATTTGTTGAGGTGATATTACACATGGGAACGATCAAGTTAAGCAATTTTCCTCTCAACACCAGAGGATAAGCGTAATCAGACAAAGGGATTAATAATTCTTAAATGACATCATATCACTGGAATAAGTTGTACTCTTCGCCATACAACCAAGTGTTTAAAGCCCCTCAATTGAAATTAAAGATTTGTAGATAAAAAATATTTCATACAAGGTAGAAAAAAGAAGTTAAGATGCTACTAAATAATAAAATGGAAATTCTATCCTTCGACAAGACAGGGAGATAGGTCAGCGTAATACCCTGCACAAAGATTGCATCGATCCAATTCATTACACTTCATAGAAGAAAACACAGAAAAGATGGATAAAAATTGAATGACCTGCAGATTGAAACAAAGTGTATAATAAAAGAAGGTTTAAATAGATTAAAGTTAATAGATGTAATCAAGATTTCAAAGGTGAAAAATAGGTATACATGACTGCCAAGACGATCGATTTTCAGAACATCTCCTTTGATAATGGTTAATCATGATGATGATGAAAACATTAATTAATTATGATATGTGGCATTTCTGATGAATTATTAATTTACTAAACATACTTCACACTGAATGACAAGTTATCATAAACGAAGAGGATTCGACAAAGAGATTAAATACATGTCTTAAGGATTCAGTTATGTATCCCTGATATTTTAATCTTGATTATTTCGCTGAAGTAGTTCAGACCAGACTTCCGTACGAAACAACAATGGAATTATTCATTTCATTTCAAACACTCTATGACTTACACAAATATAAGCTATATCAAATGTCATACTTCCCCTAGTGCTAAACTGTAGGAATATTTTTTTTTACTCATGAGTCTTCACTGTGTTTTTTGTACTGGTTGTATATTTTGTGTACCGCCGATATCACACAACACGGTATATTTTATTTTTTTTTTTGGGGGGGGGGGGATTTATCTACACATAAAAATCATCAATACTATAAGTTTCTGATTAGTCTATTTGGTTTGTTTCCCTTTTCCAAAGATCCATTTGTAATTTATGGTCAATCTGGTAGTGGTAAAACATCTGTAATGGCTAAACTTGCAGTTTTAGCAAGAGATTGGACAAATGAAATGACTGATTCCACAAAAAATAATCACGCTAGTCCATATATTCGAATACGATCTAAACATTTGAAAAGTGATAAAGTTAATACTGAAGATAAAGAATTAACTTCGAGTGAAACAATGTATGGTTCTATATCAACCAGTTCTCATGATTCAACTATTATAATAATAAGATTTTTAGGAACAAGTCCAGGTACTTCAACATTACGTCAGACACTGAAATATATCTGTCGTCAACTTGTTTCAAATATCAATAGTATTGGAAGTATGACTAATTCAGAATCATTTACATATATAGATGCTGAAGCTATTCGTGCACAAGATGATTTCCAGGTAGGTAGTTTACGTTTTGTACAATTAATTTCATTCTGATAGCACTAATAATTATGGCAAATGTAGATAGTTCAAATGTCAAGTTTATTTATTGTTACATTCTAACTAACATATACATCTATGTTGATTTAATGGGGATTAAAGTTGAAGTACTTAAGTGTTAAAGGAAATTGGTAGGTATATTCTGTCTGACTATAGTTGGATCCTTGTAAAATAGGAAATTAAAAATTTTTCTTAGCTATATGCAGTTAAATGTGTTATCCGTACTGTTAATATAACATTAAATCTTCCTGCATGTAATTCAAAAGATGCTAATGTTCTTTCGCAAACTAAAACAGCTACCTTAGTTATAATTTATAAGTGCAGGTTTACAGAAAACCTAGTGCATTTATTTATATTTATATCGGTGTAACTAACCAGGATACCATAGAATACACAGTTTATACTGTCTAAGTAAGTGGTCTGTACTGGTGGAACTCTTACTTTTTGTTTACGATAACATTTTTCTGTAAAATCTATACTTTTAACCTTCATTTATGACATAATAATTAGTTATCACTACTGATTATTATTCTTACTGTACTCATTTTACATTCTTAATTCTGATTAGTGATTTTCTAACCCTAAACATTCACTTAAATCTATTAATTTAGCCAAATTTCTGAAAAGAATCTTTACACAATTCTAATGTGTATATGAGTCAACTGTACATGATGTCCGTATATATGCAGTACAGAAGTATTAAATTCGAAAGTTGAATCTTGATACAACTTTACCAATAACATACGTTTACTCATTCTTTTCATCTTTTCAATTGCACGAAGGATGTATTTCACTTGAACTACAAACTTCGTAGCTAAAATCTTAGTGTTTCAGAGTACACATATATGTATTGTATTAAATAGTTATAAATGACTAAAAGCAAAAAAACCTGAGAAGGTGTAGTATCAGTTTTACTCTCGTTACATGGTGTTACAGAAATCATGTACAGCGAGACAAAGTTTACGCTAATAAAGTGAATTTGTTGAACTTATCATTCCCTTTTAGCTTATGTGACAATACATTGAAGAAATCTTGACATGAATATAACAGACCTAGCTTGCCATCATAAAGTATGGGGAGATATCCTACTGCTTATTATAGAATGACAGTTTTGAACAATAGTTTGAGTTATTTACTAATACTTTTAATTGCCCGTTGTTATACTGGATTGAAACAATCAATCTCTGTTGATATGTGGACTCCTATTCGGTTGCCTCGATGTTGTCTGAATATTCATCATGCTATAATTTACTGGTGGGTGGGTGGCTAGCAGTAGAATCCATGAAAGGAGTTTCTTCCACGAGGTTGACCAATGCAATCCAGTATAACAACGGGAAATTTTTAATTATCAATAAATAATAACTGATAACCTGTTGTACAAGAGGTAGCTGTCGTTCCTCAATACCTTAGTGGATAACACATCAGCGCTTAAAGTGATGGATACTGAGTTCACATTTCAGTGGAAAAACCATCACTCACTGGATTGTAGGTAATTCCAGCTTACGAGTCTTAAATAAAAGGTAGAGAGCGTCCTGGATCCAAGTGCTAGTCACCACTGATTAAATTATAGCATACAACTTTAGTCTGCTTAGCCTTATGGATGTAAATGTGTCAACTGAAAATGGATTAAATTATGGTGTTATGTTTTACGGTATAAATGTTACCCTAGCATTACTGATACATTGTAGTACCATAATGAGTAGTGTTGAGTTAAGATGTACAGTACCAAACCAAGACTTAAATTCAATCGACAAAAGGCAGTTTACAACATTTAAGATGCCTCTACCATGCATTAGATTTATAGAGTCAATTTCTATTCCGATACACCATATCAACTAGATAAGACTTAAGTCGAAATACTGACAGTAATTGGATTAAGATATTCTAGCTCTTTAGCTAGTTTTTATGACTAGAATCTCTGAAATACTAGCAATCAGTGTTCAGAAAATGATTCACGGTATCAGGGCTCAAAATCCCCAATAGTAGTGCAAGTATGTTCAGTCTTAGCTGTTTAAGTGACTTACTGGCACATTATTTAATTTTCGAACATAATCTTTGTTAAAGAAATTTTCCAAACTAAAGAACTCACAAACTGCTTTTGATACTATATACCTAGCTGCAATTGTTAACATTTCATGAAGCCGATAAGTTAAATGTAGTATAGAGATGGAATGTATATGAAAAGTCACCAGCCTCTGTTCTCATTCATAATCGGAAACCATTACGGAGAAGTTTGGGAGGAAAAAGATGAGTTTCACTACTATTAAAAAATTAGAAAACGACCAGAAACGCGGTGCTATGCTTATGAAGAATGATTATCAGCACTCAATCTTCATGACTGTTTAGGGTAAGGGTGTGACAATGAACAATTAGACCTAATGATAAATTTTCTAAGAAGAAGAAACATTCTAGATTATAGCGGTGTCAACAACTTTATTTTTGATATAATACACATTACTATTTTTATCCCTGTTCATACTTTTTTCCTTGCTAATTTGTTTTCACTTTTGTGGAAAATCTTATTGAATAAAAAATCCGTACATTTTGTTTTTCAGTCTATTCTCAACACATTTTATGACCTCTTGGCTCAACTGTCAAACATGCAGAGATATGTGATTCTGTTTCTTGATGCTATAGATCAACTTGAACCTTCGGATGGTGCATATTTTCTTGGGTGGATAAGAGTCCCTCTACCTAGATATGTAAAATTCATCATTTCCACACTACCAGATATTGGTGATATATTAGATCATTTTAGATCAAGTTTTCTCACTTCACCTTTACCTTCACGAAATTCAAATGATTTAGAAAACAATGCAGCAGATTGTTCACTGTATAATAATTTCGTTGAAGTTGAAGTACTGGATGACAATTTGTGTGAACAATTATTGAAAACTAGATTGAATTCTAACGGAAGATGTCTACAGCCATTTCAGTGGAAATTGGTTCGCAGAGCATTGTCACACTGTCATTTAACATTATTTGTAGTTCTTGTAGAACGTGTAGTAAGTTAACTTCCGTGTCCTTAAATTTTGTATGACCTATTCGTGAATGATTTATATTTGAATACTGTCTTACACTTCTAAAAAACAGAAATGAGATGAGAGATAAAACAGCATGAAGAGTAGATAAATCTCAGGCTTACTTCACATTTAATCAAAAAACCACGACCATCCTTGGTTCTTTAACTAGTGGGATTCAGAGGGATTGGACTGTTGTTCAAGTGATTACTTTGAACCGGTTTACTGCATGAAGCATTTAACGTCTAGTTGGTTCCAATTCCGTTCTACTTAACCAGTTTTCAGCATCCCGTTAGTATCGAATTTCATATATATGGGTTTAACTAACTGACTAATACTTAGTATCGAAGTTGCATTTGTGGTTAGTTAGCTGGCAGTTGGACGCTAGTTCAGTCACATCTTCTTTAGCACGTTTTAAGGGGCAACTAAGGTATGAGATCGTAATTCCTGAACTTTCTGTACCTACCGTTTGAAAGCTGAAGTTCGCGGTCATTCATAGAAACGCATGACAATGTCTCACATACGAATGCGTAGAGAGTTTCTAAGATGAACAACTAAGTTTGGTTGCATGTTGTCCCCTTTATTTACTGTCATGATTAATATGTCACTCTAAAAACATATAGCCCAATATCACCAGCTATTGTCTTGTAAGATATTGTACTATCGGAAAAATCAAACAATGATAACGTATCGCAAGCTCAGGTGGAATTAAGTTATTCATTTCTTTCTTCTAACAGTCAGCACTGAGTTCTCACTGATTTAGTTTTGCGTGGAAAACTACCACAAGACTCCTTGAATTGGAGTTGAATCCTAGTTAAATAAACAAAACAAGCTAGTCTACGATTGCTTTTGGAGACCTGTTCTGGTTGCTCAGTCAAACAGAAATAGAAATGTGATTTTATCGTGTTACTGGTTTGAATAGGTGGTTTTATACACCATTTCTAAATACAGATTTAGTTTTTAGTGTTATATAACCATGTACATATGGTTTTCAACAGTTTGTAAGCGGGGTATGGGGTTCTCATGGAAATCACCGGCTTCTTTGAACTTCCATCTCAAAGATAGCCACAAACAAGTAACCCTGCATAATGAACACTTCATCTTCGTTAGTCTCTTGACGATACTGAATATTACTGTTGTCACTAGTGTTAATGTAAGGTGGAAACTCAGGAAGTATCAGGCGATCTATGTAGGAGCCCATTTACCAATAGAGACCGACCGTTTCGGTCCAGTCAACGATGGGATAATACAAGTAACAACATTAAAACTATACCCATCGCACAAAAAGTGGCTATCATGACTCGATGGATTGGTGGATAACGCTCTGGAGTTCGCAGCCGTCAGTCCGGAGTTCAAGTCTCAGTGAGAACAAAAGAGCTCATTGGGAGGCAGGTATTTCCAGCTTACGAGTCCTAAGTAGGACGAAATGCGCTTCCTGGATTCCACTGTTAGCCGCTACCAATTGTTAATACCAGTTCTGACATCGTTCTGTATGCTGAAAGAACGAAAATCCTAAATGAAAGATAAAATTGCAACAGTAATCTTGTTTATTCATTCGTATTACCGAAGTACATTATTCCGTCATCAAACAGACATATCAGGTAGCTGGGGCTAATTCCTTTTAGGGAATTTATAGCCTGTTGCGTAACACTGGTAAAAATTTCAGAGAGAATTTCTTCTTTTCTCTTAGTTAATCAAGCTGACAATATCTCGAATTCGTTACCTAATTATTCACTGCATATTTATTTATATATGGACTTTTTTCAGTGAGGCTACATTTCTCTTAGTATGTCACTCGAGTTTTTTTCCATTGTTTGAAACTTTTGCCTGTCTGTGCTGCTGTTCCTCAGTTCGATATCTGATTCAAGTATTCTGAAACCACCTTCAAATATTCTTACTGTTGCATAGATGGGATAAGAAACAGGTTTGAATCGATTCCTTGAACGTTGATTGTCCAGTTGCGCTATATTTCTAAAATCTGTATCCAAAATGTTGGTGGATTGTTTCGAACATACCCTATATCTATCATCTTGGGAAGTATGATTCATGTCTCATTATGCGTGAACTATGTAGTGTAAACATCTCTAATTAGTGGTGTCAGTACCACAATATGCATTAGAGAACCTGTACTGTTTAGCGGAATCCTGAATATCTATCGTCGGTGTAATTATGTTAGTAGGTGTAGTTAAATCGAGAAATAGCTGGCAAAAAAATGTATTTATTCATCATTTATGCTCTTATAGACCGTGGCTCAAACGTGTCGATGGATGGATTCCACTTACTGAGTGTTTCCTAATCACCTGCGATCGACGGATGCCATGATGCGAACCGGTACTTCAGATATGCAGCCTAAACATCTAGGTTTAAAACATAGTTGTTTAGCTACATTCAGGAATCAGTAATTCTCAAAATAAATAATATACTTTTTCTCCATATTTGCTCAGTCTTACGGTTATATCTAACCTTCGAAAACCGCAGGTCTTTTCATTGCTGATGAACTATCGAGTATCATTCCTCTTTGATCCAACTTTGAACTTAAGTAAGTAATATTACAGCCACTTGCTAATTGTCAAGGTGCGTACAGGCTTTTCACTCCCAATGAAGTATCCGTTTGAACTTATGTCACTGTGAATAATAACCTGTTAGGCTCTCTTAAGCTTTGACTGTTGACCATCCCTTGTGACCTTTAAAAGACGTCGTGTAAATAAACAGTTGACGCATATGGTTCTGTCAGCTTCAACGTCTAGATCTTTTCCTAAACGATGGTTTAAGATCAATCAACTTGCTGAAGTTAAAGTTCAGTAGAAACTCTAAGTACTAAGGGGCAGAGACTCAAGGCTAGATGACCCATCCTGATTATTTTTAAGAATGGAGCCAAAAACGTAGTTTAATGGATTATTGAATTCTTCAAAAAATATGGTGGCCTGAAAGTGTCTCACCACTCTGTGGTAAAGCCATTGTAGTAGACATCCTAAAAATGAGAATACCTAATGAATGTGCAAAATTATTGGGTTATTAGTTACATATAAAGTATTGTTTGTTTTTATGCTTCCCAGATCATACAAAATGCGTGAAAATCCAAATCATGCGGAGTAGATTGAGTTTAGATTAATTTTTAAACGCAATGATCAGATATCCACCTTCTATGGGTGCCGTGAGACATTCATATGTATTGCGCATCTACTGTTTATTTTCGAGTTAAATCTGAATCAGATTTCAACGATAGGATTGTTCAAAAGCATTACCTGTCAGACAGAAGTATCTCTGAAAAGTTTGTTAGCATCTTCAAACGCCTGCACAAGAGTATCACATGCCATGCACCAACGTACATCCATCATTAGTAACTAACAATATGTTTATGCGGGGTTGTCAAATTTTGTCATTCCTCCAACTTCGTCGTCGACGACATTCTTGAGACTAGCCTGAAGAAGGTTTGTGGTAGAAGGATATATCTACTATGAGAAGAAAAACTTCAAGTCGTAAGTATGCGAGTAAAATGGCTTTGCTGTACACCAAGATTACTGAAATTACGCAAACTTACCTGGCAGACAGTGTCCATAACTTTGTTATATGCCTTGGCTCATTGTGGTACGAAGTACGGTTGCATGACCAAGCCCATGCTGCCACTCGTACAAGCAAATTGTTGGAACCGTTCAAGTATTGCGTACTTCATCAAATGCCAATATAGGGGCAAAAAATGAGATCAATCTTTTTGGAGAGCAAAATCTGTAGCAAAATGCACTAATCTGGGTCACCTTTGACATCATTTTATGGTACTTACTATGGGAAAGATTTTGTTAATAGCTATTTTGTGTGGGTACCTTCACTTAACGCATTTCACATTGAACTAATGATGTAAACCTGCTTTATATTTTCAATCATTGGTTTTCTCGAAAGACTGCTAGCATTCTTTAGAAATACAAACCGGAACTTTGAAAGCAATCAGTTATTTCGAAGCAGTTTTCAACATGGATTAGTACGAGTTGTCAGTAGTAACTGAATAACAGTGACTGCCATGAGATCTGATAGTCATAAGCTCTACCTGACATCAAATTTTGAGTGCATACTGCTGAGTTCTGGACCATATTAAAATGCCTGCCTAGTGATCTCTGGCCTTAAGTTGTTCTAAAACTTTTTGATATTTGATGTAAATTACTTTGGGGTTTTGCAGTGCTCCACCATCTATTTAGGCATAGGGAAGGCTGTTTTTCTGTAGTTGAAGTTGTATCCGTAACATGTGTTACATATTCCGATCGAGTGTCTTTTGTGTATCAAACATCGCTGGCTGATGCTAGACTAATTCGAAGAAATAGGTGTTTGGATTGACGAAATGATGCTGTGCGATAAACTATAGTCGAGTTGGATAGCATCCGTAGGTTCATTATGAATTTATGTATTAATTTGATCCAGTTTCATGACCCAGTGGTGCGAGATATATTATATGACGCAGAATCATTTCAAAGGGAATTATGCTAGTGCCTGAGTGATTTATCTAATATACAATAATAATACAACATTAGTTAATCCTTCTTAAATTTATCACATGTGACTATGTTGTTTTCTAAAAGTAATTTTTTTTTAGTCTTTACATCTCTTTAATGTTTTTATATTCGTTTTTGCGGTATACTATATGATGCTAGTTGGTTGGAGGCTATCTCTTAGATGCCTTTGACCTAGGTTTTGTGCTTTTTGGCACTCGTCAGCAAGGCGTATCCACAAGCTTGAGGGAACTGATGTCCACTGTGAGACCTGGACCCCCGTCACCCAGTGTTGCTTAATGCTCATGCTCTAGCAAGTTTTCGCTAAAGCAAAATGTACAATAAACCAAGACTAGTTTGAGTTTATACGGAACCGATTGAGAATGACTTCATTTTTAGAAGATATTGACAAATATAGTCCCCGTGATTTCCAGAGTTCAGCTCTCAAAATGTCCAATACATATTTTGCATCTTAGATATTCAAAAAATGCTATGTCAATGGTGGGGGGAAATAAGTATCATCTGATTATCTGGTGGCCGAAAGATAAGCTCATATAAATCAAAAGTATGTCAGAGATAAGCTTCTATTTAAGATCACTTTGTTCATGTACTACATTTTATTATTCAGTTGGGACTTAATTCATAGTGAATTCTACAAACACTCTTGTGGCACTTATTGGAGGTTAACCGTGGTCCAAATGGCTGAGTTGTAACACACTGACTGAACATACGCCTTACAGATGAGTGAAAACAAGTGCGGAACTTAATTTAAGGGCTTCCTACTGGTTGTCTCCAACCAACTAACATCTATCAGAGTGCACTGCAATGCTGAACCTCTTAGGTTGGTGGTCACAGCAAAATGATCAATAGAATTCAATTAGCACTCAGGACTAGATAACATGAAACTGGTTGCTCTCCAGTGACATAACTAAACGTATATTTGAATCTTTCCATTACTACGTATAAAGTGATAATTCTTGTAAATTGTTAAACGTATATATGTGGAATGAATCATTTTAGGTGAGTCAATGGAAGTCATGGCATCAGCCTGACTTCATTTTACAGAATGCTGATAATCAAATGGAATCAAAAATCTGTTCAGAAAAAGAAGTCCAACTGGCTCTCAAACAATGGCCGAATCTAGAATTAGCCTTAACGGTTAGAGGAGCTATTGTACAATTCTTTGAATCATTAGAACATACGCATGGAAAACTTTTGGTAAGATAATTTCAGCTAGGTTAGATGTTTTTATATATTTTCTTCATGATACTACTACTTAATGTGAAAATAGTAATCATATGAAGATCATTCTTTAAATATATCTAGCTTGTATTCAGCGTTCATTCAGGATATAAATAAATCTAGAAGATTATACGAAACTGTTTATGTAAGTCTTTGTTTCACTCAAGATATCAATAAAAAGGAGATTTAGGCCTCCTAAACACATTTAATTATATCTCTTAATCAGAAGGCGAAAATCACCTTCATGTTTTCTGGTCTTCGGCGCCAATTCCCTTTTATTACAGCAGTTTTCAAATCTCTTCAGCGAATAAAACTACTCAGTAATGTAACTCATTAGGTTTTAAGGTTATACTGCTCAAATTAATTCATTGTTTGAAACAAGTCAAGTTCTCTTACACTGCATAAACACCTTTCTGAGAATGTCTCTCGAGAACATAGTCCTATGTTCCCTGATTTTTTATTGTTGTTTTTTGATCTTGTGAATTGTGACAATTTAATTTGAAGCAATTTGTTCTAGGTATTTCGTTGTTTTCTTCTCCATGTGTCTTTGTATTGCGTTTCATGTAACACCTGTGAAATTTCAGAACCTACTATCAGTTATCCGATTATTTGATTACTTCGAATGGTATCTTTCAGGACGTGCACTTTCCTTATTTTTATTTTGGTATTAAGAATGTATTTATGGAGGTCACACTTTTGATGATTTCAGAGGGTCTTGTTCCGTTCTTATGAAATTTCTTACTGGATTAAAAGTATGCAAATGAAATAGTTTCATTCAGTGAAGCGCTGACAACATACAAAGTTATGATTACTTTGAAGGACAACTTTGCAGAATGTTGAGTAATATTCTCCTCCTAGTGTGAATTACTTCTTCAGATTTGGCACTGAGTCACAATTTTTTTCCCTTGAGCTCCTGTTCTCCGCAGTCTTTTGAACCTGGCTCCACTACTGCCCAGTAGCTTTCATTTCCCCCTCACACAATCTCATCCATGTCCCGCTTGGACGCCCAACTCGTCGTTCCCCCTTTGGATTCCACTCGAGGGCCTGGCGCGTGATGTCCCCTAGTCGGTCCTCAGTGTATGCCCAATCCATCTCCATTTTCTTCTTCTACATATTTGTCGGGTGATAGGTTCTTGGTTGGTTGGACGCCAGCCAGAGTTCCTTGTTGCTTATTCTTTCTGGCCACCTGATCTTCAGTATCTAGTGAGAGTAGGCAGCTGTTGTTGAATGACTGTAGTTTGTTGGAAATGCTTTTCGTAACGCGCCAAGTCTCTGAACCATATAGCAGCACTGACTTGACATTGATGTTGAAATTCCGGATCTTGTTCTTTGTTCTGAGTGCAGTAGATCTCCACAATGATTTCAGATTAATGAAAGCTTGTCTTGCTTTTCTGATCCTAGATTTGACATCCTCGTTTGTGCCGCCAACTGTAGTTGAAACGATGCTGCCTTGACTGGGTAGGTGAAAGAGACTTACTTAGGATTTTTCCCGCTAAAGGTGATTGGTGTTTGTTGTTCATGCTGTTGTTGGTTGGGTATCATCGTCACCTCCGTTTTCCCTACATTCACTTGAAGTCCTGTCTTCGCTCCCTCTTCTGTCAACTTGTTGGTTTCTGCCTGTAGATCTTCGAGTTTGTGCGACATTTGACATAGATCATCTTTGGAGTAATCCAAAATTTCTAGGCTCTTTTCATCGGTCCAGCTTTTTTAAGCCCATCTTTTCGCTCCTCACGGTTTGCTGCATGATCCACTCGACCACAATCAGGAATATCATAGGTGATAGTAGGCAGCCTTTTTGTTTTACTCCTGTCTTCACTTCAAAGGTGTCACTGAGCTTCCCATTGTGAATCACTTGGCATGTAGCGTCATATGGTATATAGCTGTTGAATAAAGTTGGTAAGAATTTGTGGCACTTTTTCCGTAGTGTTGAGGCAGCTCCCTACCAAATTACTTCTCGGTAGACGCTGTCAAAGACCTTTTCAGAGTCCATGAAGTTGAGGTAGAGTTGTCTTCTATTCTATACTCTGTTTTATGATGGTGCGTGGCGTGGTGTTGCAATTTGATCCTGAAATTTTTTTTTTTTTTTTTTTTTTTTTTTCCAGCCTTTTCCGGTCGTAATTTTGAATCCAGCACATTGTTTAGTCTCTCCAGGATGATGCGGCTTAATATTTTGCTTGGATTGGACAGCAGCATGATTCCGAGCCAGTTGTTGCAAAGACTTAGGTCTTCCTTCTTTGGGAGTTTGACAAGGTAGCTCTTCGTCCAATCAGTAGGAACCTTTCCTTCCTTCTTTTCAAACCTGCAATAGTTGTGTGAGCATGTCCGCTGTTGTCTCTGCGTCTGTTTTTAGTGCTTCTGGTGGAATTCCATCTGGTCCTGCTGCTTTCCCTCATTTCAGCAACTTTATGGCATTCAGGACTTTTTTTCGGTTTTTGTCAGAGGGCCTGTGTTCCCTGGTAGTTCTGCCGTTGCTGATGGTATTCCTAGACGAGTTGCAGGTGGTGATGGTATCAAGAGCTTTCTGAAGTGGTCAACCCATCGTTTCTTTTGTTTCTCCTCTTTGTTAACTAGCTTTCCCTCACTATCTTTCATTGGTTTCATCTTTTTTTTTTTCTTCCCGGATAGTAACCTAGTTATTTGATATAATGTTGTCAGGTCTCTTTTTTTCGTACCTACAGCCTGTTCTACTTCGCTTGTGTGTCGTAGAAGTGTCTTTTGTCTCTGCACGCACTCTTCTTCACTTCTTTGTCCAGTGTAGTGTTTAACACGTTGTACTCAGTTCTTCCTTTCGTTATGCATCTTTTTTTTTTCTTGCACTGCACTGGTTCATCTTCTGCTTCACCATCTTTCTTTCCTCTATCAGATTCCTGTATCCGTCGAGATCCATTCCTTGTCTTCTTTCTTCTTCCTTCCTTATACTGTTGTGCAGGTTTCTTTTCACCTTTCTTTCAAATAATTCCAGTGTTCTTCCACGCATGTTTCCTCGGGGATGTTGCTCAATGTCTCCCATTTTGTTCTGATGGCTGACGTGAAGATGTCCCTTGTAGTTTCGTCCTTTAGTTCAGTTTCTGTTATGGGTGTTGAACTTGAACTGTGGTCTATCATCACCAGTTTCCTTGAAGGATTTTGACTTGATATTGAAGGTACCCTGCACTAGATATTGAGTGGTCTGAACCTAGATCTGTTCCCCTTCTTGACCTTGTGTCCAGTAGGCTGCGTCTCCACTTTCTTCACATTGAGATGAAGTCGATCTGATTTTTGTGTGTCTGGTGAAATCCATGTTGCTGCCTTGTGAATATCCTTGTTTGTGTACACATTGCCTTTTTTCCAATCACCAAATCGTTGAGTGCGCAGAAATCTGAAAACAGTTCTCCATTCTCATTCATTTCACCGAGTGCTTCTTGATCCATGATTGGTTCTCTTCCTGTGTTGTCCGCTCCTAATTTAGTATTCATGTCACCCATTAGAATTTTGATGTGGCCACCTGCAGTCTTGCCTAGTACTGATTTCAGTTGTCTGTAGAATTCCTCCTTCTTCTCTTCATCTGCATTATTTGTTGGCCCGTAGCATCGAATGACTGTGACTTTCCTTCCTTTTGAGTTGAATCTTGCTGTCATGAAGGTGGAGGAGGTCGGTTCCCACTGCATGAGAACCTTCGATGTTCTTGGGGAAATCATGATAGCCACTCTATAACTCAGTGTGCTCGTGGTTGTCGTCTGTGTGACAATGTCGGAGTAGATTATTGACTCTGCAGTTGACAGTTTGTAGAGTCCACTTCCATTCCATCTGCTTCCGCAGATTCCAAGCACTTCCATGCCATATCTTCTCATCTCTTTTGCAATCTGGGCAGCCTTGCTAGGTTCATACATAGTGTGTACATTCCACGTTCCCATATTTACTTTTCCTTTCATCAAGAGAAGAAAAGACACATTGGCCGATTGGCTTCCCGAAGTCTTTCACCAACCGGCGTCATTTCGTCTCCCCGATTCCAGTGAGGATTAAGTTTGTTTTTAATTTCTATAATCACTTTGTGCTTTGAAGTTTCTTTATGGGTTGGATTGGTTTTGTGGGGTAGGGTTGCTAGCCTTCCCAACCTTCCGTGTTTATCCGGGCTTAGGACCGGCTAGTAAGTAGTGAACTAGTTAACCAGGCGAGGGACTGAGTCACAATAAAAAGTAAATAAGGTTTAGCAAACTAACTACTTCACTTATTTTGGAAGGCACACCTACCTTAAAGAGTTGTTGACCAACCGAATCCTGACATAGATTCAGAAGGCTGAATGCTTCTCCAGTAGGTCCCATTTGTGACACAAAAAAGTTATCTGAATGCTTATTTATAGCTGAGTGTTATTTATGCCAGTATTTTTCATTCTACTATATGACTTTAAAAAGTGACCATTTAAATTAGACGATTAGGCTTTCACTATCTTTGAAAATTCTCTGAATTATCCAGGAATTAGCAAGTAAGTACTGTAAATGTTAGACACCCTTTCACTGGGTTCATATCAATTAACTTACACCTAAATGTCATCGTCACACCGCCAGTAACTTGATAATTGTCACCAACCTTTTGATTTCAACTTCATTTACTTATCGAAAGATCACAGGATAACTTTTATTGATTGTTAACAAATTCCGTACACAATCACACTAAGTATTCTATTCCTTGATCAGTGTTACTAAATCACATGTTCTTACCGTTACCGATTGTTTTCCATATGGATGTAATATAATCTACTGCTACAAAATTTAACACATCTTACCACTTTACGGTTCTTACTATGATCAAACTTTGCCAGATGTATTAGTGGCTAACAGATCAAACTGATTTGTATCACTTTAACCAGAGTGGTAAAATTCAGGGGATTTAAAGCCAATATAATGGTACTAATGACATTTGTACCTAGTACTACGTTTGATATTCATGTTCAGTAATTCTTTCTATTTCATGATGCTTTTTGAAGTAGGGTTTCTAGAAATGATGTTAGTTAGTCAATATCAACTTGATACTTAGTGTTGCTTCATAACAGGCTACAATGCCACATTTCACATTAACACATCAAAGCAAAAGACCCCGAAATAAATGGTGAAGTAGGATAAAAGTAACAATAGGTCCTAAGAAGAGAATGGGCAGCAAATAACGAAATACAGTGTAATGGTTAAGATTATGATAATGTGTGGATGCCCCTGCACCACTGAAACATATTCTGAGTCTTCAAACATCGATTCTGATTGCACATAGCCTCAAATCTAGGAGACTGAGCTTTCCTCCAAGATTCAGTAAAGCAGTCAGAAACTCTGTGGACTTATATTACGTTTTATTCTAGTTGCCCTCAACATTTTTCCCGTGCAAAGCTACTTCAACTAACATTGTATGATCAGGTAGATGTTCAGAAGTAGTATGTATTGTAGATAGCTAATGTGACTGGTAGGTATTTCTTTACTTTGGTTGTACCTTCATGGTGAAGATAGGTCTGAAAAATTCTCTGGGAACCAGCTACCGAACAGTTTAGCCTTTTTTGTCATTCTTTCAAATTGTTGTAATTAAGAAGGCAAGAATTATTCATCGTTTTAGGTGACAACTACTTCTGGTTCTCAGTAGCATCTTTTTTCACTTCCAACTTTCGTTTGGTTCTCATCAGTTGGTTAACAGCAGTGATATGATAGGACTGCTGAACATTAACTCGTACAAAATGCATTTTCATGGAGGTCGAGCAATCAACAGATAACATGGCTATCAAATATGTGTACGAAAAAAATCTTTGGCGATATACCGATTTTATAACAAAGTTATTTGGCTTGATTTACCGTTCACTTTCTGGCATGAAAAGCCATCATATACTGAAAAATAAATTGCGATATTTTCACAGGCAAAGAAAAGTAATCTAATGAATAAAAAAAACTTTATCCTAGGTAGTCCAGTACATTTTCTAAATGAGTGTAACAACTGTCTATAAAATCGATACTGAGTGAAATGAAAATGAAGTGAAAATCTCGTCCATAGTAGGATTCGAATCAACGACCTATGAATCACCACCCCGGGTGCTATATAAACTGAGCTATAACACCCAGCTGCTGATCGGATCTTAATTTTGTTTCAATCATCAAGGGTTTTGCCCGACTGCCACATGAATTTGTGATGCGTTACTATCACGTGATCCTTTTCACACTGGCTGCCCAGCCAGGACTTCTCATCCCAATTCAAATCAACCCGAACTAGAGAGGGAGAGTATCATATTGATAATCAGTTTAACTTTTTGAGATCATTTGAAATATTACAATCGATGAAGAAGATTCATAATGTTGTCACTTAGAGCATTTCTTGTGTAATCGTTAGGTGTTATGGATGTCCTAAGAAAATTCAGCTAACGAACAATGAATAATGGGTAATCTCCTGAGCAACTGCTTTCAGCCCTAACCAGTTGAAACACACGTAATGCATTGAACAACTTTTAAACTAAAATGAAGTGGCTCGAAAACAGAATACAAGTCTTGCATACATATATATTTTCCAAGTATTTGGTAACACAGTTAATAGATTAAACAGTAATACATAAGTCAACCTGTACAAAAAGCCAGTTTTAATTTATGCATAAACTAATAACACATGTTGGGCGCTTTTACTACGAAAAGTCAGAAATTAAAATTTCGTAAAACAGTCAACAATTTTCTGCATGCTCTGTATACCTATGAATGCATCATTATTCGTAAATTATGCCAATTTAAAAAATCTCATTTCATAAATATGTGAACGACTTCGTGTGACGTTTGTTTTTGCATTTAATATAATCACATCCTATTTTGTGGTGACATAACTCAAGTGAAATGTACTCCTATCCAAGATGCATTCAGAAGAGAGTACAACTTGATTATTTGACGAAATTACGTGACACCAAAGTCTGTTTCACACCTTTAAATTTTATTTTACTACCGTATATTTTACATAATATATACAGTTGGTGGAGATAAATTATCGGACCATTTTTACAAATTGTGTCTACGATTCATTTCTTCAGAAAAGATAAAGTACTTATTTCCGTATGAAAATGTAAGGATAGATTCCTGTTAGTATGTCATGGAACCTGTAGATGTTCCTTTTGTCTCCCTGAAATTTTAATAATACTATTTTCGTACTTTTTGCATAGACTTCTCATGCTATATCATACATCACAGCTTCACGTCGTGGTATGAGCGAGGCTGAAATTGTAGATTTGTTATCACTTGACGATGAAGTACTACAAGATGTTTTTCAACATCACTTACCACCGCAAGTTCGGGCTCCCCTTCGGTATGGACAAGACTTCGAAACTCATTGGGATCAAATCTAGCTGAACGTGAAGCTGATGGGATAACAGTTGTATTTTGGTAAGCTCTTTAATGTAAAACCTTTTTTAATTAGCAGAAGATATCTTCTCCATTCGTTAGAATATCCTGAGGATTTCCTAACAGGAAAGTAAAATGAATCAATAAATTTACACAATTGATTAACAGCGTTAGTTATCTGATTAGCTTTATAAAGCAGAAAAGTGTTGTGAATCTCTACTGTCAAATGTTATCGTTTATATTATGTCAGGTGTTAGGATTATCTATTGCACGTTATAAGAATTGATGAAGATGTGATGGGATTACTCATCTCAGAATATCCATTCATGAGCTGACATATAAGTCTGACATCCGATTAAAATACAGCAAGTGCTTCACTTTTTTGATATTTCAGTGAATTCCTTAACAATTTTTGATTCTATACCTGAGATCACTATTTTCTAAACCCTTTTTAATGCATTGAAATGTAGTAGACATCACGCATTCGGTATGTTTTATTTGGATATCGAATGTATGTCAATTCATTAAACAAAGGTTTTTCAATAGTAGAAGTAGCAACATTGTTAAGTTCAGTTTTTATAAACTACTGGAAAAGCTAACCACACAAGAGTAGTGTTATCAAACATTATCGAGTTCATTGTGTGAGGAATACGTTGGCATTGTGCTAGAGTATAATATTCCATATTCGACCGTTTATTTGATTCATCGCATGGTAATACAGCATTATCTACCGGATGAATTTTCAAGCGCAATTTATCGCTCATAATCATATCATATGATGATTTCTACTCATATTGAATGCATGGAATGAAATGAACGAATTATAAAATTAAGTACTTATTGAAGTCTCACATGGAATACATTTTTAGATATTGTTTCTCCAGCATATCTCAGAGATTCTTGAATTTTTATTGTTTCTGCAGTACCAACTGATAGGTAATCATCAGTGATGTAAGATTTTGGGAGTCAATCTTCAGGTGGCGCTCATCAACAAAACGTATGTGCAACAATCAGGAAACTGGCATTCTATTGGTTATTTAGACCAGCACCACTCATTGTTGAAATCGAGGACTTAACCTTTAAGACATTCATGCCACGTCTGACCCTCTGTAGGAGTAGAAAATGTTCACAGATTTGTCACATATGAGAATTCGATATAGCCATCTATCCCTTTCTGCTTCACGTTGTTCAAAGTCTGGGATTCAAGTTTCAGATTGCTGCCACTAAGAGGAATGACACGATACTACACTCTGTTTTAGTGTCATGTGTTAAATATGTTTGTAAAGTTGACTGTCTATTACTATGCTATCAATATCAATTGACCTTTACAGTTTACTCCTACATCTCTCTTTTTGTTGGATGCTATATGATAAAAAAGTCATCTAATAGTCATTTTTAAAATTTATGGAAGGGTTTTATTTACCACTGAATATCTTCTAATACAGTGATTTAAATCAGGGGACACAAAGTTTAATAAATGTTGACATTTCGTCTTGCACTTTTTTGCAGTAATTTGAAATGTTAACTGAGATGAGAAATAACAATTATCACTTAGTGAATAAATACTAGTGATCTTGTTCTATATCTTAGGATCCTAAATACCCATGCGATTATTTCTGAGTAGATAATTAATAAGTATATTTTAGCCATCATATTTAGAATACCACGAAATTTTTGTTACCTTAAACCTATTTTGCAAGAAGTAAGTGCCTATTGAAGACTTGTGAACGAAATCTTTATCTCATTTTAGGTAGGGAATATCACATACTGTACTCACTGATCTCCTTATTCGTTTCAATTTCGTCTTCCTTTAGATAATCTTTTCCTTCGTATTACTTCAACCAATCAGTTAGCGTACAAATTTCTTCCGTTTACTTTACCCAAAACAACACTGAACTACCTTCAGCTTTACAACTGTTTTCAGTCATATTGAAGTCTTTCAAAATGCTGATATTTATGGATAAAGATGACCACTAACAGTATCTACAGCAGGTTCAATCTATATTGACGGGGAGTATCTTGTGATAAAAATTGTGTTGGCACTTTTTTTTACAAATTTTCCTCAATCTCACTTTTAACGTGCAGTGAATTCTGAGTTAAGTCATATCTTATTCATTTCCTCTCGAAGCTTAGCAGCGTCATGTGAAAAAATAGATTTCATCTCTTAAACATAAATAATGTTCTATACAACTTCTGTACAGAATCAAGTGAACTGTCCATATTTTTGTCCTTTAGATGTTCTGAATATCTTTTAAATACCACAAACCTTTATCAATCTCATTCAACAACTATATGAAAACGCTACATACCAAGTAATTCACAATGGGAAGCTCAGTGATGCTTTTGAAGTGAAGATAGGAGTGAAACAAGGCTGCCGCCTACTATCACCCATGATATTCCTGATTGTAGTGGACTGGATCAAACAACAAACAGTGAGGAGCGAGAAGAGGGGGATACGCCGGACTGGCAAAAAGATCCTAGAAGATTTAGATTTCGCCGATGACTTGTGTCTAATGTCACACAAACTTGAAGATCTACAGGCGAAAACTAACAAGTTGACAGAAGAGGCAGGGCAGGGCAGGGCGGTGAAGACGGGACTTCAGGTGAATATAGAGAAGACAGAGGTAGAGGTGATGAAGATACCCAACCAACACCACCATAAACAACAACAAGCTCCAATCACCATCAACGGGAGAAACCTAAAGGAAGTAGCCTCCTTCACCTATCAAGGCAGCACTGTTTCAACTACAGGCGGCACAGACGAGGACGTCAAAGCCAGCCAGGATCGGAAAGACAGCAAGACAGGCTTTCATTAGTTTGAAATCAATGTGGAGATCTTCTGCACCCAGCATGTGGGACAAGATCCCGATTTTCAACACCAACGTCAAGTCAGTGCTTCTATGTGATGGTTGGGAGACTTGGCGCGTTACAAAAGGCATTTCCAACACACTACAGTCATTCATCGACAACTGCCTACGCTGACTCGTTACTGAAGACCAGTGGCCATAAAAAATGAGCAACAAGGTCACTCCGGCAACGAACCAACCAAGAACCTATTACCCAACAAATATGCAGAAGGAAGTGGGGATGGGTTGGGCATACACTGAGAAGGCTGGCTGGGGACATCATGCGTCAGGCCGTGAGTAGAAACTAGATGGGAAGCGACGAGTTGGGCGACTGAGGGTGACATGGAGGAGATCGTGTGAGGAAGAAATGAGAGCTTCTAGGCAGTCGTGGAGACAGGTTCAAAAAATTACGGAGAACAGAGTTCACTGGAGACGTGCTACTGAAGCCCTGTGTTCCACTAGGAACCCAAGGGACAAATAACATAAATAATAATAATTGAGTGTTTTAGTTTTTACGTTGAACGCGCCAACATGAACACTATGAAAATCAATATAAATGAAGATATTTTCAGGTGCTTTTAAGTTTTACTTAAGAGTCATTTTCTGTAGTTACTAAGAAATGCAGCTAAATGGAAAAATAAAAATGGTCATCACAACTGAGAATGAATTGTCAGAATGTATAGATACCTAGTTTAACATTGTAGATGAGTGTATACTAATTTAAATCCATAGTTTTACTTTTTAAGTGTAGTTGAAGTCACAATTTATCCTTTGTATCACCAGGTATCATCGTCAATTTATTGAAGCTGCACAAGATTACTATCTGTCTGACATTAGTTACAGACGAAAAATTCATTCAAACATAGCTGACTATTTTTTAGGCAAATGGGTTGGTGTTAAAAAGACATTTTATTATCCAGAATATCTTGCTGCAAAATTGGTAAGTTCCTAAAGTTTAATAAGTGTTTATTGTCTCATACTAGCGTTGTATTACAGAATCTTCATGTAGGTGAAACAGTGATGTTGGGGATGTGACTGCACACTAGCTGATTAGACGAAATTAGATTTAAAATTCATCGTCCAAGTAAAACTATCACCAAACTATTGGTTGTGTTCGTCCTAGTATAGAACTGAGTAGTGCGCACCCTTGACTTCGCCAGGGATCCGACCCAGGACCGTTATGTGGCCGTTGTGCTTCTGGGTCGGAGTCTAATGGTCCACATTTTTTCTACTTCTGTCAATTTGTGGTATAACAAGACTTCCACCCAATATTCTATGTCCAACTTGATTTGCCCTACGGGTAATGACTTTTCATTAGGACTTCGGGAAATCTCATCTCAGAGCATATCATTAATGAGCATCGGCTTGTGGGTGTACACTGCTGAGGAGTCTCATACTAGGACGAAACGACTGATTAATGCTCCCAGGTTTTCAGTGTTTTTTCAACTGAATTCAATCCATGATGAATACCAACTTGAAATCAATAAATCCCTACAAACCTCCAAAATGTGTTCATTGTTTCATAATTCATTTTTTCATAAGGTTTCCGATGGTTAAACATATCAGCTTTAAAATTGCTTTTGATCGAATCGATAATAATTCTTTAAAGGGCATAAGTTCTCAAAGCGTTAAACGTCTTCACCTAAAAATCATTTCATGCCATTTTGGTTCAAAAAATTAAATGTTTAATGTGATGCCGAGCATCAATCCATTTTAATGAGTTCGTGAAGGTTAGCATTCCAAACTAAGTAACTGTATTAGCCCATATAAAACTTAATCTAATCTTTGGTATACATTAGAGAAATAAAAACCGTAAAGTTTATAGCAATGTTAAGTGTTTATCAATCTGAAATTACTTTAGGGATATATTATTTCAAAAAGCTTTCAAATAAATTTGTTTTCCTGAACAAATCACACCATCAGTATTGTAGGTATAAGGTCAGATTTTCTGTCATATAATATATCTTCTAGTATATGAATACTTATTAATAATCTTTCAGATTTCTACAGAAGACTATCATGAGGACTCGATTTCGCTATCTTATAAAAGTCTATTAGTAGATTCATAAAAAATCATATAAAAATGACAAAAGTAAAACATTTTAACTGTCTTCAAGTAAGACGGTGATAGAACCGATATGGTACTGTATTATCTTGTCAGTGGATACTTTCGACTTTATCTTCAATGAGATGTCTGGAAGACATTGTCCGTCTGTTCTGGTATTCTCGTTGAAACACCGTATCATTGTTGATTACTTCAATTATCTGAAAGTATTGTATCCAACAGCTATTAATTGCTCAAGATGACGTGACGTGATGTATCACTTATTGTATAACGACTATTTGGGGTTCCACTAGTAACGTAATTTATAGATTACTCACTGACTTAAATCACTCTGATAACATCAGTTTCCTTATATGACTGCAAATTTATCTTGTTAATGCTTACTAGTATACATGAAACCGAGGTCTAATTGGGCTCCCTGTTGATTGATTCCGACTATTTTAACACTAAAATACAATACACTGTAGTGTGACTTAGAGGTCAGATTACCAAACTTGATCACAAAGAAGTATTTAAAATGACACTTATCGTTTCTTTCTTCGTTCGTAAGGTAAATTTCTTCATTTTGTTTGAGCATAGATGGAATTGATTAGAAAGCCTTCAGTACAGGACTAAGAAAACTACGAAAGTGAAACGAAATAAACTAAACTATCTTAGTTGTGCTGGATTCTTTGCGCTGGTGGGTTTAATCTTGAAGCCTTTATTGTCTTTCTAGACAATACTACCAGCACTAACTTCAATATGAAGTGAGACACCAGAATTTCTGCATAAGTGATTCAGTAGCTTACTCTCACGAATTGGTTTGTGATTGACAGTCTTCTTTGATTACTGTGTCACTGGCTGTATGAATTCTCCTGTTGACTGTTTCTATGCCTGACCTTTAACCTTGTAGCCGTTTATCACTTTTCCCATTGGTTGATAAACTGGGTTTGTGTTTATCCATCTATTGATTGTTGAATAACCTGAATATCAGGCTTCCAGGAATTATGAGCTTCTCTTTGTGTTTCCTCTCTTCAACATCTCTATATCGATATGAGCGACGAAATGTCGTGATGTTTAGTAGCCACCCTTCATCCCGACGATATCAAATTTTCTCAATGGAGAAGTGGTTCGATACAAACTGCCATTCCTGGATACTTTAGTCAATAGAACATGTAACAAAACTTTTGTCATCGAAGACCCATTAAGATATGCACCAGAAAAACATAATTTTGATAACCTCCGTTTTTTCTATTTATGACTAAATATGAGAAAGTATTGTTGCAACAGTTGTACTGGGTTACTTTTTACAAGGAGACGAGTGGTAAAGATTTTTAACTCAGTGACGAAACATTTATAACCATGTGAAAAATGTGATCAGTATTATTATTTCTAACGATAAAACTTTGACGTTATATTCTTTATGCATCTACAAATTTGACATGCTTTGCTTTTATAGAATCTACCACCATCCAGTAATGAGGATAGAATGGTACCACCACAACCTTATGTCTTTGAAGAATCGAAAACCAGTGTTAAGAAGAAACTACATTTAAATTTGAGAAAATTGAATGAATTACCATGGCATCTGTATCATTCAGGTAGAATAGAGGAGTTCTATTCAGAAATAATGTTCAATTATGAGTTTCTGTACAACAAATTACGTGGTACATCTAGGTGAGGGAAAATTTGCTAATTGTTTATATATATATATATATATATATATATATATATATATATATTCAAATGGTTGGGATTAATTTAATTGATCATTAAAGTTTAATTAGTCGGTTTCTATGTAATATTCACTACGGATCGATACTGCTTGGAAAACCATTGAAAACCTGACAGTACTGGACACTTATTCCGTCGTGGTTTTGGACTCCCCAAGAGTGCATCCGACGATCCTTATGAGAATAGTGTCCAGGACCACTATCTCCCGCGTTAAGCTTGTTACTAACCAGTCTTTGCGTTGGAATGCATGGTTCACATTCCCCATCATTCAGTGTTATTAGTTGACATCGATTCTCCTCACTGAATTCCTATACATCAAGACGTGTGATTGAAACTCCGAGAAAAGACATCGCAAAATAAGTCGTTAATTAGTAGTGGATAGTAATGCAATTAATCGCTAGTGGAGAGACATTAGAAAATATGCAATATCTCCTTTCAAAGTGCTAAAACAGTACTATATCTCATATAAACGGAGATTTTCAACCGCTTCATTTGATTTTGTTGGTTGGATATATTTTTATTGTATGAAAGCTGACTATACTTATCGAACTAACCTCAGGATTATCGCTTATAAAAAAATCAGTAAGGTTACACACTTACATACTTTTCCTTACTACTGCTGAGTACGGAAAAATGAAGAGAATTAGGTTTTTAGATGAATGACCAATGCTAACTTTCTAATGTGCTTAGTGATAATTGTTTTCAAATTGATCTTTCGAATAAACTACCACTTTTCTTACAGGCTTATCGTGAAACTATAACGTCTAATGGAAGTATGCAGCTGTGAACTGTTCACACTCCATAGAAGACTGAGAGTTGGTAGCCTGTTTCATAACCTAGAAAGACACATGCAAGTAGAAATAGTGCAGATTCTGATTAATTTGACTTCTATCATCTCATTACTAACTTTGAATGACGTAACCATTATGATGAAGATTCTGTATGTTTGGAGAAGTTGTAGTGTGTAAGCTTCAAGAAAAATGGTGGTGAAATCCATTGATTTGTTTGATAATTCTGTATGAAAATAAACTGACTATTTGGGCATTTATTTTTAGTTTCTTAAACACGTTTTGTTAACATTCATGCATATAGGTCTGATTATTCTCAAAAATTAATAATTATTTTATGTTTAGAAGTAGTATTCACCATGGACTGACATCAGTTGGGGAACCACTGGAAGTCTGGGAGCACTGGACTGCTGTTTCGTCCTGGTGTGGGACTCCTCAGCAGTACACACCCACGACCCTGCTAGGTATCGAACCCAGGACCTTCAGGTCTCAACGGCAAATGCGTTAACCATTCGTCTCAAAAGTACATTACTGTATAGTCCTCATTAGTGACTTGCTTCCAGATGGAAGTCACGAAGCTCTAATGAGAAGTTGTGACCTGTGGGGTCAACCACTCGTAAGTGAAGCGGATGCTAACTAAAGACCTTGGGTGATAGCCGCACTATGTCGTGAATTGAGAGAAGTTGGAAATTGCGAACCACTGGAAACCGGCCCAGTGGCTGGATGGTTAACGCGTTCGCCGTGAAATCTGAAGGTCCTGAATTCAATCCCTAGCCGGGTCGTGGGTGCGTACTGCTGAGGAGTCCCACACCAGGACGAAACAGCAGTCGAGTGCTCCCAGACTTCCAATGGTTCCCTTACTGATGTCAGTCCATGATGAATACTACCTCTAAATTAAAGATCCCCATTCATCTCAAAAATTATTTTATGGCTTATGTACTAAAAGAAGTAATTTTGTCTTACTTTCAAAATAAATTGATAAAATGTTGAATTGCTTTTGTTCAACAGGTCACAACTGCTTATAGATTTACAACTTCCAATACAAGCTTACCGTATATACAAATCTGAACAACTTCTTTCTTTGGACGCTCACTTACACCAAGTTTCTAAACAAGATATCAGAACAAAACTGGGCGGATTGAATTCAGCATTGTTCATCAGTCACTCATCACAATCAACCTCGTATAATGACAATGTTAATCAAAGTAATATCATCCCTACAATTAATACAGATAAAGTGCTGTTTAATGATCATTTAGAACCACCACCACCAGAAGCCTTCAAAGTATACAATTGTATACGTATTGCTGCTCTAAGCTTAGATTATCAACCCTCTAGTATACCGATAGATATCTTGGGACGTTTAACAAAATCTACACACCGCAACCACATTTACGACGCACACGTAAACGTTTATCAACATATGTTCCTTTAGGATCACGTCGTAGTATTCTAATGCTAAATTCAAAGCGTGAATTAATTCATAGACGGCGCATGAAAGACGAAGATAAGCAAGTCAACATATACAAAGAACTACTGGAAAAACTCTTAATTCAAGCAAGGAGTCTTGGTTGTAAACAGTGTGCCTTACTACCACGTACAATGTGTTTTGATTCAGGCAGTGGCCTACTACATACCACATTTGATATTGGTCTCGGCATTGGACGTTTAATGTCAAATAATTTGATTCTATCAGTGGCTTTAAATGGTAAATCAGTTAGTTGGTATGATCTAGACGGTAATTTAGTAAAGACGATAAGTTTACCAGAGGTTAACTTATTTTCAATGAAATTTTTATTAGCTTCACATTTTGCACCAGATCCAGTTTCTATATGTGCATTACCGGTTATCAGATCACCAGATAATAATACAAACAATATTCAACATTTAGAAGATTCAAAAGGTAAAGATAATCGTTTATTGTCAATTGCAAAAATTGATTATTTCTCCGGTCGTGTTACAACTATATCTACATTAGATGAAAAATGGTCTGATCTTTTCAATATATCATCACTTATTCTGTTAACTAACGAGTGGATTGGATCACTCATTGGTATAAAACTTTATTTGGCTTATTTACCGAAACAACAAATGATTATTGACGGTTGTTTCCTTGATTGTAATTCATTTTATTATTCCAATTTAAAAAATATCATGAGTTTCACTTTATCTGGTATTGGTGTTTTTCTTATTGATATGAATGAATGCAGTGTAACTCACTTTTCAATTCTTGATAATTTAAACGTTTACAGTACTGTTAGACTACAGACAAATTTCGTCACTTCTTTTTGCTTTACAAGTCATTATGAGTGTGATTTACACTTTTATGAAGTTATTCAAGTGAAAAATGATAATTTATCAGATATTTCAGAATTTTTAAATGATTACAAATTGAAGGGAATAAATCTTCAAACCCTTAAATTGTATCAAGGTCGTTTGAGGAATAAAATTCGTTTAGATATATCACAAGCCAATAAATTTCTTGGTTGTTCAACTCATTTAAGTTATACTGATCATTTAGTTGTATATTTGTTCAATATACGCCGTAAAACTGCTCAAGATTTCGGTGTAATATGGGATCAGCGATATGAAACATATGTGAATTTACAATTACCATTTAATGTTGAACAGGATAATTTAAATAAAGATGAAGTGAATTTAACAAAAGAAATGTTGAAGTAAGTATGATTAATGTATCTTGAGTATTATTATTGTCATGAAATGTATTGTGATTTTGAACCACTAAATTCTGAGATATGTAGAGTAACATTTCATATATTTCTTCATTTATTATCAACACGGTGAAATAACTTAACCAGTCATCTTATACAAAGACGCTAGAGAGTCTTGTTTAGAAAGCTGTTATGCAAAACAGAAAGGAAACTTGCCAGTTGTATTCAATTTGCGGTTTGCTGTTAGTATCAATGCTGAATTCGGATCCGAAAATATAGTCTACTGATTGTTTCATCACATGTATAACTAGTACACCAAATACAGTGGATATTCCAACTGATTGGTTGATGTATTCATCCCCAAGTAGAAGTCGGTTACAGTTTCCTTTTGTTTTATAACTTACACAGCTAGCTTGGGCACAACATATACGGCTTTAGTAGGTTCAAATGCAATTATAGTATGTTTACATGAAGCGAATTCATTAATATTGCTCCTAGAGCAAGTACAGAGGTTACTCCGACGTGTTTTATAAATCCCATAGAAAAAAGTCCTGCGAATCCAACAGTATAAGTTAGTAGAACGTAGAAACCTAATTAGATATAGGATGGTATGCCCTGGCAAAATTAGAAATCTAGAAAAGAGCTTAACAGAAGATATGTGTGTTATACCATACTATCAGACAATGGAATAAGCTCCGTATTGGATTGTTTATTTGATTGATATAGCACACAGTGACCCAGTATTATTTACTGGAAGACGTTTAGAGCAGAATTTATCGCTAATATTCATATCAAAGTGATCATTCAACTTTCACACTTCCTTGATATGGTCCAACGGTTCTTTGTTCTTTTATTTTAATAGTATTTAAATTTTCCAGATATCTGGAATTTGTTATGAATCATCTCTGTTATATGTGCTAGGTTTTGATTCAATGAACAACGATTCTGTGATCAATCTCTCTCTCCATGTAGCTACATTGGATTTTAGAGTTGTCATCCTATCCTACCTGATCGTGTGATTGTGGGTCAGTACATGCAAAGCGATAACCGAGTTTTTCTCTGCTAGTCTGTATGCTTTGCTATTTTGACCGACACCTACCAGGTGCTGTGACCTACATACTTAACCTCACAATCATTACATGGTATTTGATTGATCAGGTTATTTTTCTTAGTTAGGTCTATTGGATCTCTCAGCCCACAAAGTTCCTCTATTAGCGAGTTTGTGCGTTTAAATACCACCCTAAACTCAGCACTGTTTAGAATTCCGTATGATATTTCCGATGTGCCTTCTGTATACGGCGATTCCCTCTTAGGCATTTTGAAGTCACGATTAACATTGCCAGTATTTCTCTTATCAGTTCTTATAAACTTATTAATAAATTCCTTATTCAGCTTTTTCGACTTACTGGTCAAACTCCTGGCCCGATTACTTAAACATTTTATCAGGCCTATCTCAACAGATATGGGGTGAGATGATATGAAATCCAGGTATCTCTTCGAGTGTGCTCGTTTCCTGTAAATAAACACTGGTATGTTAGCTTCCATCTTCTCTCCTCCTGGTTTTGCAATAGAACATAAGTAATTCCTGTTATTCATTTTCTAATTCAGAAGTAAAGAAGATTGGATCCACTATCGAGTTAACATGTCTGAAGAAATTCTGGATACGTTCTGATTTAAACATAGTACATTTTTCATTTACATATCCCCACCATACTTTTGGGGTGGGTTGGAATGTTCCTAATGCTATTTAATAACAACTGTCTATGAATATGTCTGCTACGATTGGGTATACTAGAGATTCCATTGCTACTTTTGTTTCTTGATACATTTTGTCTTGAAGTTAAAAAATTGTGGAAGTTAAACATTATCTTATCCCTTGTAGAAACTCGTTCTATTACTGAGTTTTCCGACTGCTTCAGTGCCACATTAACTGGTATATTTGTATAGAGGCCGTCGCATCAAAACCGACCATTCTTTATCCCTCGTCTAATTGTATATTATTCAGTTGAGCTGGTGAGCCTAGATTTTTAGAGATTTCTAATAGGGCATAGTATTGTAGCTAAATATTTCTGTAAATTACATGTTGGTGTGTTTCTAAAGTCAACTATTGGCCTAATATGATAACCTGTTTTATAAACCTTAATGGTACCACAGATTCTACTAGGATTATTAGTTTTAAGCATTAAATTAAACCACTGAGACACCCAGAGATGGCTGTTGACTTTATTTCACTGCAAGATTAGCAAAATGACTGTGTCTAATCTTTCTCGTTTTAATCCTTACAGCTTATGTTAAATAAAATAATGATAATAATAAGGCTATTTGCAAAGCAAATTACAGGGATCCAGTATATGACAAGATGTTTGACAGAATTTAATTTTGTATTCAGCGTTGATTAGATGGGATAATAAATCAACTTTGTTGGACTAAGTCACTCTTTTTCCAAGCTACTTAATAATGAAGATGTTGCCAGTTTTTGAAGAGCACTTAAACACATAAACATAGAATACACAGAATTTGTTGTCGATCATATCATTATCTGTATATGCAAACACCAGTCCGTCTAAAGAGTTAACTAACATACAATGTGCTAGTATTTAATTTTCTTTCTGTCTGTTACGGCTGTAGAAACTCTAGACCACCACTGGCTACTATACTTTTCAAATTAAATTTTAAAATGTCTGTCCTCTTATGTTGACCTCTGTCTTTTTAATAAACCTAGACACAGTTTTATAATAAATGATCAGAATAATGGTTCTGTGTCAAAATTCTTTAGCCATTTTTCCTGTTTGCTACCAAGCTGTTCGTTCCAAATAAACTTAGTGACTACATTTTTATTATCCAGTATACTCAAAACTACTGTTCACTTTATTCTTTGTTATCGTCGATAAATATGCTATGTAAACAAGAACTAAATCCATGCTTTGTCAGTAGGTCATTTTTGTTGGGAAAGATTAGCCAATACGAGACTAAAGAACAGTCCGTGCGAACAACAAACACTTATCTTTAAGATTTTATCGACGAAAGGGAAGTGAATGTTCATTTCATTTCTTTTGTCTACAGAAATGTAAACTTTACTCATGTTGGCGAACTTCTTCATAATTTGTTTGTGACGGTTGAGATTATTGCCAGGGTGACTGAAAAGAAGCAAATTATCGTCTTATGGGACCACTAGGCAGGTCTTATGTTTAATCCATAAGACAGCGAAAGAATGTCTGGATCTGCATTCCGTTGAATGTCAGTGATGAAAGTAGGTTCATAAATCATCTTTTTATTTCATATCCTAGATCTTATATTCACTGGTGGTTTGGAACCAGAATTTTGCAAACCCTGGAGATGAACTGATTATATATGTGGATCCCGTTAAGAGCTTTGGACACTAGCTTTCACTATTTCACTGTTATGAAAACAGATTCGTCAGTTGCAGATTGTAAATAAAACTTCGCTGACAGAGATTAAGAATAAGTACGTGAAGATATCAGAGTATTTCAGGCGCAACAGTGGGTTATTATCCCCCACCCCACCCCCTCTACCAAACTAAAGTATCCGTAGAGATGATAGATTCCTATCGCTATCATCGGCAGACATGTTTACTTTAATAACTAAAATTACAAAAACACAACACAACTACTAGTAACAAAATATGGTGACACTTGTTTGATCACAAATTTAGTATCGTATATTCGGATTGTCATTGCACCTTCATTCAAGCAAACTATCTTGAGAATAAGACATTCGAACAAGTTGCTTTTTTCCACTCTGTATCATCCCCACGTAGAATTATTCCAGTTTCAATGCAATAAAAACCATAAGACAGAAACGCAGTGAAAATCATCGACTCTTCAGCCCAGAAATACGCATCATCTGGTGATAAGCGAAGTCTGAAACCTACTTGGTTTACCCCCATCCATTGTAGTTTTAGTATTATGATAAACTCTTGGATTCAGATTGTTTCGACTGACAGAAGTTCATCAACGCTTTCACTTTGTGGCATGAAATAGTTCTAATGCATCGGCGTTAGTCATCATTCCTTTTCATATTACTATATGCAAGTAGTTGTGTCGGATTTCTAACTATGAGGATTACACAGCTATTTTAAATTCATGCTTTTCAACTCCTTATAGCCACAACTGTACTGTGATGGTTATAAGTAGTAAACCTGTATTTTTGCTACTAGCTACAAATGCGTAAACCTACTTATTTTTATCCTTCAACATAGGATCTAATGGGTCTAAGTGAAAGCTAGTAAGTTCTGCTTTACAACACTAGGTTTAACAGAGTGTTTCCTGAAGTGGAACTTTTACTGGACCCAATTCTTAGTTCTTGGTTAGTGGTAGGAAATTATAACTGGATGACTCCCAACATGTGTATTTCCAGTTTCTTTGTGGTTAGACTAAGGTTAAGCTTACGAAGGATATTTTGACAAGTATCTACCAAACTCTTCTTCGCACCTCTGTCTCAAGAGATTCTGATGACAACTTAGTCATTGCGCTTCTTAAAAACTAAACCTATTTTTCATCTTTGTTCTTGTATTATTGGCTATTTAAATGGATCTGTTTGGAGTGACCTAACAGCTGTCATGATCACAGAATCACATTTAACTATTCCCAGAGTCATAAAATAATAGACTTAGGTGATACCATCTTCCGCAGCTGGTCAATCGCATTTAACTATACCTAGTGTACATAAAAATGTCAATATTTACTAAACAATAATTGTTAGTAGTCTGTGGCTATGAAAATAATATGGCAGTGGAATTCATGAAAGAAATATGAAAGTATTTGATAATATGAGTAGATGTGATTTGCAAACAAGAATTAAAGTGAGTACACACTTGTCAGTGCACAAGCGAATGCGAAAAGAGTAATTGAGATCAATAAAAATCGTTTACTTAATAACAGTATTAAAATTAAATGATTAATTGAGGCTGAAGAACTGGAAAGTTTAAGAATTGAAAAGTGAATAAAGACAGGGAATGGAAAAGTTGCTTCTGGATACACAATTAT